TGGCACAGGATAATGTTCTAGTACATTCATCACTCGTATCGAGGTGACAACAAAAATGATTGGTGGTAAGGATGTTAGGAAATTTTATAATATCCTTGTTCCGAGTTGCGAGTGCACATCAACTTTTTTTGAAACACATATTAACATAATTTCTTATATCAGCCGTTTAAACAAATCCATGTATAATTTCCCAGATCACTTAGAACAACTTTGGATAACATATCAATACGGAGATGTCCAGATAAGTTTTATATTTTCAACAACAGATCTGCTAAAAACCAGAATTTGTAGATTGCATTATAATAAAGTGGATGGAAATTCAATGAATATAATAATTGACCTTAGACAAAAATGTGTACCTTTTGTTTTTGCTATGCTATTAAAATATTTTATATAAATTTGAAAAATTGAAATTTATATTTATATAAAAAGTTCCATTTTCGCACATTCATTTCAGATGTGATAATAAAATTAATAAAAATATGGAACAATTATTCAATAAATAAGGTTGATTTTTACCTAAGAGGTTAAACAAATTTTTGTCAAAAAGAAATTAATAAAAATGTTAATTAATTTACTTTAAAAATATTCATGGACAATTTTTTAAGAAATTTTGAATAAAATTTCCATTTTATAAAAGTATTTTTTTGGTTTTTAAAGCACAAGTTATAATCAGTTTTAAAATTAAGAAAATATTTGTTTCGGAATAACATTATCTCCTGTTTCCCCTTTCTCAAAAATTTCTAAATATTATAATTTAACAGCATCTAATAATCATAAAGCCTGATATCCTTGTCCACTTCTTTACTACTTTCAAACTGCTTTCAATGTTAATAGTTATGAAATAAAATTCATACTTTTAAGACTAATAGTGTTTTAAACGCAGCGTTAAAGAAGTGGACCTAACCTAATATATAATATGCTACATTGTTTTAGAAAATTTATGAATAAATTAATTGTATATTTTTATTTTTTAAATTCTAATATATTTGTTTAAAGAATTGGAGAGACGGATTCAAAACCGATCAGTTTAAGAAATTCCTTTTCTTACTACTGAGACTTGATACCGCAATTATTCGTTCTAAATATCTAAGTTTTATCTCTTCCATCGAATATTCTTATGCCTCCTTATACTTTCTTTATTCCCTTCTCCTTCTTTGTTTCTCTTTACTATTTTCTTTTTAGATATCTTTTTTTTAAATTCTTTCTTATTTTGCTAAATTCTATTTTTATAATCGCCTTTATTAATTCTCTCTTAAAAAAAATAGTTATCCGCCTTTACCTTTTCATATAACTATATTTACTCAAATAAAGAAACAAATGAACAGAAAAAAAATTTTTGACTTATAAATTATTATTTACTTCAATTGTATTGAGACTTGAAATTAATTTTATTAGTGTTAAAAACTAATTGTAGAAAATTAGTCTGCATTTCAATATTGAATTTTGAATCGGATTTAATTATAATATACATATCTAATAAGCCTTTATTCCCGACAAATTAATTTTGAATTTTATAATTTTGAAATATTCATTGTTTGTTCTTTTATGTCTGATATAGATATCGAAATTAAAGAGTTTAATCTTATTATATTTTAAATCTAGATATATATATTTTTTAAATTGGATGTGATTTTGAATCTCATATTAAGACGCAGCTATAAGAATGACTTTTCCCAAAATTTAGAACTAATCATGAAGTTTAAGCCAATAAAAAGATACGCTTCTTTTTTTTTTAGCAAAATATGGAATTTTCTAGTTGTGGCATCAATACGGAACGGAAATTAAGGAAACACTAAAATAATTTTAATAAAATTGAAATATTTTTTTATGTTTTATTATCTGAAATACTTTAGGGATCCAAATCGAACTTAATGAACCATTAAACCTGTATTAACCCTTATTATTTACAGTTTTTAAATTGAACTCTACCGCTAAAAAATATGTTACACAAATCTGAATCAAACAACTAAAATGATCGGTGAAGAGGTTTAAAACTTTGTAATCCTAACTTTTATAAAGGTTAATAGCAATCAATTTTGAATGATAGGCATTGGCTTTTTATCAGATATTTAATATATTACTATTTCTATTTTTTACGATTCTAACTGCCCAAATTACTCATAATTTGTATATAAAACTCTATAATTCAAGTTAATTAATAATTATTATATTTATATGTACAATAATAAAACTGATGTGTTGCTTTGCTTTTGTTTTATTCATCGCTTTTAATGACAAAACAAAATATACATCTCTAATCAAAATCAAATAAGTGTGTATTTGTTTTATTCTAATCAGCTAGTTTTATTTTTCACCTGAATCGAATCGATTATATTTATTTGCACTTTGAAGACATTCAGGGTGGAAAGCTTTGATTAATTCGAATGATCCTATTCTCAACCCTAAGTTAAACTTCGATTCATCGCTAAATATGGGTATTATTTATTATACCTTTCTATCTAGTCAAGTTAATATGATTAATGTTCCGAAGTACTGTCGAATATGAATTCTTCCCATGGAGTAGAATGTATTATAAAAATAAAAGTGAACTTACCATTAAACTCTATTCAGATTTTATATTATTGAATCAGAGCGAAGTTGATATAAGATATCATAGTTTTCTAAATATTCATCTCTTTTAATATAATAATTTTCTGAAGTCCAGGATTCTAAATTATCTTTATAATATCATTTCCAAACCATTCTATGATATATCATATCACACAATTGAACATGAACCTAATATTCTTTTCATATAATGTCGAACAACAAGAGTCAAATTGTCAAATTCCCTTAAATATTGATCTCTAGATATATAATAAAGATAAATATCTCATGATATAAAACGAATGACTATGACCCTCTAGATTTTTTTTTCCTATGATTTTACGATTTATTTAACATAATCATGAAAAAAATTTCCAATTAAAGTTTTTCATAGGCAGAATTTAAAATATCTGATATAATCGAAGTTTTAAATATAATACAAAATATTTTATTTCATTATGATAAAAAAAAATTAATATTATATTAATATAAAATATGAACGCCATCTATTTTTTTTAATATCCCTCAGAATTTAATAGTCGCTATTTGTGAAGTTACTATACTATATTATATATAATCATAAATTAATTAACTAAAAAAATCACATTATAGATATTATGTAAAATATGAGGTGTAAATAATATTATGTTAAATTTTTAACTTAATATTTAAAAAATAATAATTGCTAGATATTGTCTATTTTGTTATAAAAGCTTTAATTTCAATATTTATGTTTAAAGTTTAAATATTATAAATTGTGCTTATAAAAAAACCTAATTGTAATTTTAAAAAATTAAAAGTACGATAATTATCGGAGACCTGTAGACCAGGCCGGGACGTAATTTCTATAAATAAACCCGATCCGCCCTAAAAAAAATTTTAAGTATCTGAGTTTAAAAATATTTTTCAAAAATTCAAAATTGAATATGAGAAGGGATAAATTTGTTTGCCGGTAAAGTTCCCCCCTAAAAAATTGGCTATTAGCCTTTAAAAAATTGACCCCTCCCCAGGAAATTAAACACCCGGAAAATTGGCCTCTAAAATATTAACCCTCGAAAAATTAGCTCCCAGTAAATTTCTATATATAAAAATCCCGCTACTCGCTTTCCATAGAATTTTTTTTAAAAAATATTTGGCAAAATTCATTATTTAATTAAGTTCATAAGAATTAGAAAAATCAAAGGTGTGGTAAAAATGGCATACAGATACCTTCTTTTTAAAAATTTTCTGTTTTCATCAATATCATTTTAAGCTTAAAATTATCCCCTTTGCACTATCCCGCACCCCCTCCCCACCCTCTCTTCTTTAAAAATAATGTATGCAATATTTCACTATAAACAATTATTTGAAAGAAAATAAATATTTATATTTTTTTAAATAATTACTAAAAATTTTTAAAAAAAAGCTTTAAAAAAATTGAAAAATAAAAATTATTTAAAAAAATATATATAAAATAAATATAACCTAACCAAAAGTCTTCAATAAATCGACCCAATCTTCTCCAAGGTTAAAAAGCAACATAATTGTGCCTCCCCACCTCCTCGTCTAAATCCTGGCTATATCTATGGAAACAGGTAAACCACCGGGGAAAAACATTTAATTATTTTGCACGTTACATTACAACTTGAAATTATGGATTATTTTCCAATACAATACATATACTATACCAAAATAATTAGATTGGCAAAATATTTTAAAATAGTTTTATTAATAAATATTTTTTAGTTTTGAAAATTACTATAATAAAAGTATAAAAAGTTTATATTATAACAATGCTATGAAAATGTCTAAAAAAAGTAAAGGTAGATATATATTATAAAAGGGTTAAAAAGAAAATATAATTATAAGTACATAGGTTATTTATTAATATGAGATTTATATGCGAGTATACAATGCCCAAATAAAATTATTAGGCCGGACTAGACAAATTGTGGGAAATGCTTTTAAATCTACATAATCTGGGCCTGGTAGCGATGACCACTAATTAATATTACTACTAAGTCACAAAATTAATTAACAAAAAATACAAATAAATGTTCTTTTCTAGTGTTGTTAAAACCCCCGATTTATTTCGAATTTAAAAAACGATTAAGATTTTGCACAAAATAATATTAGGTAAGCCTAGAGATTTAGCAAATATAAATCCAAACCATTTTGATTCACGAGCAAAATATTGAGGCAAACATAATATTATTTTGGGTCAACAATCTAGCAATTTTAAAAATCGACCCAAATTGAACTTTTTAACAACATTATTCTATATAATTAATTTATTTCAAAAATATATAACCATTTGTTTTAAGTCATATTTGAATAGGTAGATATTTCAAAAAGAATACATTAATACTGCTTATATATAATGTAAACTAAACTAAATTAACTCTAATGATATAATTAAACAATGCCTTATCATTAATTAATTTATTTATTACTTTTCCTTGTGGTGATATATCAATCCTAAACATATGTGAATGGAAATTTTTAATACAGATAACTTCTACATATTTTGGAATGGAATATCTAGTCTATGGTGCAATAAAAAGAATGGACACTTTGAAATAAAAAATAGTTTTATTATTTCCATACTCTAATTAGTGCTTATACTTTTTTTAGATATAAACCCTCCTGATGATTCAGATTTGGAATGCTTAGGATTAACATATGGACTCCTTGGAAAATTACAGCCATTTACCAGTAAATTGCTTAATGCTATGTTTAAATAATAACTATAATATACAGATATAAAATATGGTGGTTTAATTGTTATCACAGAAAAGACAAATCTTGATTGTATTTACGAAAATAAATCAATAATTCGCATAGATAAAATTTCAATTTTGCCATTTTGTGAAGAATTATTGAATGATAATAATGGCATTGATCAATCAAACAGTGTGTCTATTTCTTATGAGCCTAAATTATTTTATGATTTAGCAGTAATATTTAAAATTATTTATAAATAAATATACTAATTATTTGATTTAGACATGTAATAAACATCAATCATATAAAAATAAAAATAAATTAAGTAATCCATTACAAAATTTATTTCCTGGAACTAGCACAATTAAGAAATTAATTCCCCTATCTTCAAATTCCAACAATATGTTACCTCTTCAAAAAACATGGACCTCAATCAAAGCAGCTGCAGAAAATGTTTTACCAAACAAAATTCCAGTTTGTTTAAAAATAAGAAATATTTTTTATTGGATTGCAATGATCCATTTTTTTTTCTGATTTAATTAAATATTAATCTGATAATCAAAAAATTATAGAAAGCCTCTTGCAGAGTTGTTAAAATACTTTAAATGAATCTAGATATAGATATCATAAATAGTGATCTGCATCGGGCCTAATTTTTCAAGCCCAGCCTGGCACGGAATTTTTTTTAAAAAAAGTTTTGCCAGCCAGGCCCAAGCCCAAAATTTTTTTAAAAAGTTTTGCCAGCCTGAACTCGAAATTAATTTTAAAAAAATTTACCGGCCCGGCCAAGCACGAATTTATTTAAATATAGAAATTAATTTTTTTTATAATTTCTTAAAATAAAAGACATATGTTCTATAGCATTTAGTTTCAATAGATTAAATCAAAATTTTATATTTTACATAAAAAATTAAAATATTGATAAATTTAGATATATTTAATAAAATTTCCAAATTCCGACCCCACACGGCCCAAAATTTTTATAAAAATATTAGGCCCAGCCTGGCCCAAACCCGATTATTTTAAATAGAATTAGGCCCCAGACTTGGGCCGGGTAGGGGCCAGGTCTAACTTTGCAGATCTCTAATCATAAATACATTATCTAAAATATATCCTATATAGTTACATTATCCAAATGTATAGAGATACAATTTTTATTTTACTTGGGTAAGATATGCATAAGGTTCTCATTGCTGAGAATCTAATTGGGAATATGGATGATATTTCCCCCATTTTTAGTTATTTTTAAAAAAACTCAATTTATATATAAGTGTTTATTTTTATAGAATCTTTTTATGTAAATTTTTACTTTCAAATCTAGGAGATATAAATGAGATTAGAGGTTTGCAATAGGTGGGTTTTAGCCAAAAATTTTGCACCCTCATTGCTTTGAAATTCTATATTGTTAACCTACCCACCTGCCTGTCCACTCGTTTTTTTAAATTTTTTTAACCTGTCTGCTCACTTATAATTTTTTCTAAAAAATTTACCCAACTGCCCATTTATTTATAAATTTTGTTTAACCAGACTGCCTAATGTTTAAAAATTATTTTAATGACTGGGTTTGGCTCTTTATTTATCTATTTTAATGTATTTTTAATTAAACATATATAATATGCAATATTATGAAACAAAACTATTATCTTAAATTAATTGAAGTCTGTTCTGCTTATATGAGGTTTGAAATAATTCATTTATTTTACTTATAATATTTTCACTTATTATTTTTATTTTTACCTAAAATAATTAATGGCTCACAATAAAAAGTTATTAAAATGTTAGTGTTAAAACAAATTGTTATAACTATGTTTAATTCCTCTCATATTATTTTAATTTTTATAATATAATCTGGGTTCCAGCTAGACGTCAATAAGTAAAAAAAATATTTTTTTTCTCTTTTTTTTCAGTAACCCAAAATTTAGTAATCCACCAAACATTCAATTCGGAGTCGATTTTCAATTAGAAACAACGCGGCTTTCCCGGTCACTAACAAACTTAAAAAAATATATTTAAAAAGATTATATCTAAAAATTTATTATAAATACTAATGTTGTTAAATGGCTCGATCTAAGCCGATTTTTAAAAACGGCTGACTCAATAAAAAAAATTTCTTAATCACTTCTTTTCTAACGCATCATCCAGCTTACTTCATTTTAAAAACATCTCTAAGTTTCTCCCTCCTCATCCTTTTTTCCTCCTCAAAAACTTTTACTACATTCCTAAAATATTTTATGCCCTTCGATCCACCTCAATTTTTAAATTCCCCGACTCATTAAAATCATTCGAAATCTCCGTCAAATCTCTTGCCGAAGAGATCCTTAATCTCCGCTTTAACCATAATTCATGGTTACTAGCATCACTTCCATGCATGCTCAGGGGTATCGGCTTACGCTCACTTCTAACTCTTTCCATTAGTGGTTTCATCGTCTCCCCTTTCATCTGACTCACACATTAGCCATCTTTCTAACTTTCCTGACCCCTTATTAGCTGAAGCCCAGACCATTTGGGATAATTCCGTTGTCCCAAATACTCCACGACCCTCCTCTGTTCACAGAGAGACTGAGATATTCCACTCAACGAAGACTAACGAAACTATGGATTTTAAAAAATTTCAATTTTAATGCCCGGATTGGATTATCGTTTAACCTGTCCTTATTTTATATTAAACCTTCCGAATCTTTAAAATATTTCATTTTAAATCATTTTGATTCTACTGTGTTTTAAAAAAAAAATGATCTTTCTTCTCTTCTCTTCTCTTCTCTTCTCTTCTCTTCTCTTCTCTTCTTCTTCTCTTTCTCTCTTCTCTCTCTTCTCTTCTCTCTTTCTCTTCTCTCTCTCTCTTCTCTTCTCTTCTCTCTCTCTCTCTCTCTCTTCTCTTCTCTTCTCTTCTCTCTCTCTCTTCTCTTCTCTCTCTTCTCTTCTCTTCTCTTTTCTTCTTCTCTCTCTTCTTTCTCTTCTCTTCAAGAGAAGAGAAGAGATTCTTTCTTTCTTTCTTTCTTTCTTTCTTTCTTTCTTTCTTTCTTTCTTTCTTTCTTTCTTTCTTTCCGTCGCTTACCTAAAATCGAGCCTTCACGACGACGATCTCACAGTTTTTCACCAATTGAACCACCGGTTACGAGTTTCTGGAAATCATACCCTCTAATAACCTTGATTTGTTGCTCTCCGCTGACGAGCTAAGATTTGCTATTGGATTACGGTTCAATTTCGAAATTTTTCTACCGTACCAATGTAAATATTCCGAAACCAGTGTCGATAGCAAGTAAGACATTGTCGCTTTTGTCGAAGCCGTTTTTCACGGCACACCAAATGCAACGACATCATATTACTCGCCCTCAAATTAGCAGGCATTCCATCTAGACTTGAACCAACCAGAATTTTTAGAACCGACGGAAACGCCCTGATGGAATGTCCTTGATTCCTTGGTCAAGAAGTCAGCTCCTGGTTTGGGATTTCACCTGCATTGACCCAAATGCACCATCTAACCACAACGTCGATGCCATCGCCCTCGCAGAATCTCGAAAAATCATCAAATACAGTTCCTTAGACCCTTCTTTCTTATTCATACCCATCGCCTGCTCTATTCTCACCACCTTAGGTAGCAAAGCTCAACGTTTTTTTAAAGAATTAGGCAAACGGATTCGCGAAAAACCCGATCAGCCTAAGAAATCCCTCTTCTTACGTCAAAGACTTGCTACCATTATTCGCTCTAACCATCTAAGTATTATCTCTTCCATTGAATAACCTTCCATATTCCTAGCTTCCTTTTTTTGTCCCCTATCCTTTCCCGTAAACTCTATTTCTACATTTTTCACCTTTATTAATTTTATCTTTTAAAACAATTAATTGTATGCTATTACATTTTGATAACATATTATATCAGTAAATACTTAATATTTTAGCCAGAAAAATAGGCCCATATTTCTTTATCTAAAAAATACCCAAGCTAATAATTAAAAAAATTGAATTTTTCAACCTAAAACCTAGATCATATTGAGCCGATTAACAACATTAAAAGGTAGTATGAAAAGTGAGAAAATTGTTCATCTATAGAGTGAGATGCTCAATTTGAATATAATGAAAGGTTTAATATTCTATTAATTTTAAAATTCAATTTTAATTCGTATTAATATTCATCAATATTAATTAAAATCAACCTCCCCCCCCCCCTCGTCCTCTAGTTTATAAATTGTCTATCAAAAAAAACATATCAAATATTTTCAGATTAAGAAGAGAACAATTATTTTAAAAAATAATCTTAAAGATAATTATTTCTGTGCTAATACTGAAATACTCGTCCCCTATGCATTAAAATATGATTGAGCAAAATATTCACAATAAAATATTATATTTATAAGTTGGTACTCGGGTGTATGTATTTCGACCAGATCGACCCATTTGGCTGGGTCGGTTCTGATTCATTTTTTCGACCAAAAACCACAGTCGTGGACCAACTATTTAACCTCACTATCACATATTATTAAATGAATTTAATTCAAATATTAGTGTAAATCCCCCCATCATTTCAAGCCAAAAAATGTAAATTAAAAATCTCCCACTAATTTTTCTAGAAGATTTTTGTTTAATAAGCACCTGAATATGACTAAAAATACTGCATTGCTAAAAAGCAATAAATCATAATCAATCAACATTTTATTATATAATCTTTTTTAAAAAATAATTTTCAGAAACATTTTTTTTAAATATACTACATAAATCAAATTGAGATTAAATATCATTTATAATTCTATTTTTACTTAAAATTAATGGAAAATAAGTATATTTACTAGCTTTTATTTTTTTTCTCTTTAGCTTTTGCCTTTTCTGGTGGTAAACTCCTTCAACATCTCTCTCCACTTTATGTTATTCATACAATCTCTTTTATCTAATTTATACTTCTTTATATTGGCTCTAACTTTATGGCCCCATTGAAGTTTTGGCCTTCCTCTTTTACGTTTGCCCATCACCTCCAAACTCTCAACCTTATTCCCTATGTAGTTCATAGGCCTTCTCATTGTGTGCCCATACCACCTAAGTCTGTTTACCATTAACTTAGTCTTAATTGGCACTACCTTTAAACTACTTAGTATTCTTGTACTGCCCACTTTATCCTTTCTTATATCCCAGCAATCATCCTCAGCATTCTCATCTCCATAGTTTGTAGACTTCTCTCGTCTGATTATTTGGTTGGCCATGTTTCCGAACTATATAGAATAGTTGGTTGTACTATGGAACTGTAAATTTTTCCCTTTAATTTGTGTGGGATTCTTTTGTCAAATAGCACTCCAGATAAAGATCTCCATTTTAACCACCCTTGATTAATTTTACTCTTTATCTCTTTTTCTATTGTGCCGTTTGTTTGTATAGTGGAACCCAAATATTTGCAGCTTTCAATTGCCGATATCTGCCATTCATTTATATCAATACTCTCTGTTTCATCTCCTCCTATCACCATATACTCCGTCTTTTCTCTATTTACTTTTAGTCCGTGCTTTTCTGGGATATTTATCCAACTCACTAATCTTTCTATTAGCTTATTACAACTCAAATTTTATTTTCCAATTTTAAAGTTTAACAATATATATCCATAGGAGGGCGTTAAATGCCTAAATATGAAAATATCATCTTAAAAACACAGAATGATTATTGGTTAGCGCTTTTTTTTTATATTTCGATATAAATACTTGTAGAAAACCTAAAATTTAAAAATGAATAGGCTTAGATTCGAAAAATAAAAGATAACATAAGGCACATATTTCTGGCGATATTGATTAAAATCTCTTCATTTTTAGTTTATATGTGTATATTTAGGTGTTGGCATTATCCTAAAAAATATTTTGAAAATATTATGATTTGACCAAAAGCCGAGCTCAAAACCGACCACTTACTAAATATTCGATTGACTAAATTTGCTAGTTGAAAAATGTTCATTTTTGTTTTATATATCTATAACTACGTATAAAACATTATCCCTAAAAATATTAAAAAAATATCATGATTTGATCAGTAACCGATTTGAAACCGAAATTCTTTATTTTTGGTTTATACGTGTTTTTTAAAACAAAATATGATTTATAATTATATAGTAATTTTAAATTTTAACGGCTAATATTTAAAATTATTTATTTGTTTATTATTTTTTACGTACTTTTACTTTACATTTTTTTTCTTTTTAGTAAAATGCTAAAATATTTTTTAAAAGATTATAATTTATTAAATTTTTTAGAAGTTTTTATTTTAATGAAATTAAAGGAATTTTCTAGAAAGGTGGGTGGGGGGGGGGATCCTTTATATCATCAGGTTTCATAAATAAATTCCTTAATCATCGAGTTTTTAAAAATTAATTTCTATATCACATTTTCCAAACTTTTATGAATTTTATTCGTTTTGTCTACTATTATCTTCATATCTTAAATATATTATCCTTTCGACATGATTTAGATTTTGAAATTTTATTTATCAATAATTTTTACTTTATTTTCATCATCTCTAGTAATATTAAGTAAATTTTTATTTTTTTAATCACAGGAATTTCTTTATAATTTATCATATATTAATATATTTAAATTTATAAGATTCAATTTTTGAAAGTATAATTTTATTATTCTCAATAAAATTTAAAACAAAATAATTATACCAAGATATTTCCCGGACTAGTTATTTCTGAAATTAATGAATATGATGATGTGAAATTAGCCAAACGGATTTATGAGGTTTGATAATTATTATTGATTTCTTGTCTGTTCAGTGAATCTCATTTATTTATATATAAATTTGTGCCTATTGACTTAAATTTACATGTTAAATGGGGAAGGCCAACCAGACCCTATTCAACACCGCTCCACAATCCAAATTTTTTTTTCAAATGTAATCAGTTGTGATTTAGCGACAATATAACTATATTCCATTTGGGTTTTTAAATTATCAAATCTTAATGAAGCCCATATTTTTGCAATTTCTTTCGTGTTTTGGGGGTCTGAATTTTACTATTTATTTTTCCAAAATATTTCAATCAAATCAGTCATATATCCCTGAACTTACAGAATATATTTTTTAAAGAAAGTTGTGAGAGGGGAAAATTTATATTTTTAGATCGTTAGGAGAATAGTCTTATAATATAAACTTTCTCATATTTCCCAGTATTTTCTTTTAAAAAAAAATTGACCCCAAAAACTAGGAAATCAATAAATTGTTTAATAACACCGATTCATTTTACTACTCTCGCGAAGTGGACCTTACTAACTCGGCCCAAAGACTTAAGGAATTTAAAGAAAGATCTAAAGACACTCAAGCTTCCTATTCGAAAGATAAAACGAAAATGGAGGTTGCTGTTACTGTATCAAGGGATGCTAAAGGGAACATATTGAACACATCATTTAAGGAGGATAGTTTTGCACTACCACCACTATCATACGATTGGAAAAGTTGTGACGAAAGATTTTTCTGGAATTTTAACATTCTAAAAGACGTGATATCTATCATGGTAATTTCATGCTTCTACGATGTAAAGTTATTTAGATTAACAATTTGAAAGAAAATTGTTTATATATTTTTGGTTAGGGTTCGCTAATTATATTAATAAGGTGCAATTTAAAATGGCTACCCATTATAAAAGATTAATTTGGTCTACATACCCAATTTTCGTAGAAATACAATGCCAATTCAATTAAAAAATATATAACGTACCAAATGACGTTTTAAATTTAAAAAAGGATGTGAAAAATTATAAAATAAGTAAATAATTAGAAAGAACTTAAAAAAGATATTTAACAAAATAAGTCACAAGATCCCCATCAATCATCCCATTGGATACTGCCAATAATATGTGGTTACGTATCACCACCCCGATCCATCGAAAGTCACGATTTTATTACTCATTTACCCACTCTATCTAGCTCGTCATTTAGCCGAAAATCTGTTTTTGATGAAACAGCTATAGGATTTCGATCGAAGGATGATAGGAAAGATGTAAAAATGAAGGATGTGAAAGCCACTTTTTGCTTGATATCTAGGAGAAATAGGCACAGAACTGGTAATTTATTTGGAAAAAAGCAGAAAAAAATAATTAATAAAGTACGAAGAAATAGAAAAGAGTGAAATAATCATCCTTTTTTTCATACATAAGGCACGCGTTATAACAGGAGAGGTATCGATGAAGAAGGAAACGCCGCCAATTATGTTGAAACAGAACAAGTTTTTATGCTATATATATTTTTTAATAAACTATAAAATTTATCGAAAGAAAAAAGGTAGGGATGGGAAGAAGAAAAAAGGTGCTGAGCGGCCTCTTTGCCTCTGCTTTTATTTATCTGCACAAACAAATCCTTTTTACTAATTATTTTACTAGCACTTTTTTGATGAATACTATAGTATTCACTTATATTCATTTTCTTATACTACTATATTAGTTAATTCGTGTAGCTAATCACGTTATTTCCTTCGTTATGGTGAGAGGTTCTATTCCTTTGTACTGGACCCAAGGAGGCATGAAGTACAGGCCTCAACCTACATTGGAAAAAGGTTTGTTAAATTGCTAATTATTATTTTTCCATACTTTATTTTCATAATATTTAATATTTGAAATTATTTTTAAATATTCAACATGTTCCTTGTGAAACTTTTTTTTTAAACTTTATTGCCAATCTTTATTCCTTTTTTTTTAAAATGGATAGTGCATTTTATTTTTCACTTTTGAAAACATTTTTAAAAATTTTATTTTCCAATCGAATATTTTAAATGATTTTATTATTCGCACTAACACTAATAATAATTTTATTTCAAATTCTAACTCCAGTTAAAGAAAGGGAAATGATATACTCCCGATTTCGTTGAATTCCTTTGATAGTTCTTAAGTATGCATATACCTTTTCTGCCTAACCATTGGAGGCAGGATGACAAGGAGAAGGAAAAATATGTTTAATACCTCTTTAATCTTGAGTTCCATTAATAGAGATTAAAATTACAGGATTCCCCATTTTTGTAAAACCTTAAGACAGTTTTTCTAATACTAAATAAATTCTATCCATCAACAATTATTATATAATATATTCTGTAAAAGGACCTCAAATAACCACGTGTAATTTTATCCAAAGGTTTTCTGTGTTCCAATTATTTAACTGGGCTTTCTTAAGTCTTATATTACATTCTAAGCATTTATTACTAATAGGATTGACCATATAAGGCAAGTATACTTACTCACAGGCCGTATTTTCTTAATTCTTATATGACCTTTGTGTAATTTTTGTAAAATTGAATACTGCATATGTCATGGAAGCAACTATTGGCTTTTTTTTAAAAAAATATATCATATAAGATGTGAAACATTTTTAATTTTTTAGAAAGGGTTCAAAATCAGGGTGTATTTTATCTTTCTTTTGTCCATCTTTAATATATCCATTCTAAACAAAGAAGGCTCCTTGGTTCCTAATATTTCTTCTGAAGTTTATCATATAAGGGGGTTTCCTGGAAATAATATCTAGGTTACCTCAGCCCTTTTAATAAGTTCTTTGGAAATCGATTCAAATTCACATCTTCTATTTTTTTAAAATTTAAATATGTGAACTATAGGTATGTGTTTCTAAAAACACCGTACTCCCATTGATTTATTCTTAGAATTTTTTGGTTCCGAAAACGGCATCAAGAGCTACTATATAGAATATATTTTCTCAGCCTTTGAATGAGTCATCAAACCAATTGCAATAGGACGCCTATCTCCTGACTTGATTTTTTATTTTAAAATAGCTCTTAATCTATATAATGCGTCTGGGATCACACCTATATCCGTTCTTATTCACTCCATTTGAACGGCTTCATCTTTCTTTAGCTATTTAGTGCCCAGAAGGTTGGAAAACCTAGCTTTGATTATAGATTCACGGTTAATGGGTTCTTGGGATTTATTTCTTCCCTTGTATCAATAAATTATTAATAAAGTTGAATGGAAGATTTCTCTAAAATAGATTAAGTTTATAATTTAATTAAAAAAAAATTTTCCAGATATATTATTTATTACTCTTTCTATAGATGTGAACGAGAATTTTTTGGCCTTCAAACGTCATTTCGACCGAGAAATACGCATATACAAAAAAGTAGTTATCATAAACCTAGCCGAACAAACTGGTCGGGAAAAATATCTGTCAGAAGCATATCTGGATAATTTGTTGACTTATGATAATCCTCTGCTTATATACGTTACCTTTGATTTCCATGAATATTGGTTTAAATTTAGAGAAAATATTTAATCATTTTTTTTAATATATGGGAGATAAATAAATTGTGAGGTACTTTTATAAATCTATTTTTTTTTAGTATAAATCTTTTTCTTAAGGATTGATTTAAAATAGTAATTTAATTATTTTCGAGAAGTTTCACTCTCCCTTATATAGCCTTCGATTTTCATAACAATATTGTTTTAAATTTTTAAAAAATTAGTATACTTGTCAGTTATTTATGTATATCATTAATCTTTACGATGAGAACACTCTGAAGAGTAAACAAAAACAACCGCTAATCTGAAATTTTTATTTGTTATTTATTATATTTATATCAACTAAATTTTGATATAAAAGTCAGGGTATGAAGTTCGAGAACATATCGGTTCTGACGGAGAGTGTGGCTGACATTATTAAACAAATGCAATATTGTTGGTAAATTATTGGAAATTTAATATAAATGTACATGAGAGAAAAGAAAATTAGTACACATATTACCCTTTTCCTTTTATTTATTAACTTAAAACTATAATTTATGTCGGAATAAAATAAGGAACAAAGATGCTTCTATGAGTGGGGTTTATCCAGTTGTTATAAATAATGAAAGGATTAATTTTAAGGATATTGTGTCATTATGATTATATATAAAAATTAAAAATTACCTCTATTTAGGTTCGATTCTAAGGGTTTTATATGCTATCAAACCTCCGTTTTCAGGATAAATTGCATAGATTGTCTCGATAGGACTAACATGGTTCAAATGTCTTTGGCTAAGATCTTGTTAGAAATTCAGGTTTTCTATTTTAGATGAAAATGATGTATGAATACGTTGTATCAAAATATTAATATATTGGTCAAACTCAAAGTAAACCAATTTCTTTCAAATTTACGCCTTGTTTTTAAATAATGAAATTCTCCAAATAATTATTAAAAAGATTTATGTAATTTTGCTAAATGAAATCATACTCAAATGACCAATAAACTTTAAAAATCCCTCATAATACAATATTTATACTGTTTTCTAAAATATATATTTAATACAACATTCCACTTACTACTGAGGGAAGAGCTGCACATTCTAACGCATCAATAGTTTATTATTTTAAATGTTACCTATAAAATTTTATTTATTTTTTCTTTATATTGTCATTGTGAATTATTCCCTCTACCTTATAATTTTCCCTATAACACCGACATATCGTTGTTTATGTTATTGGAATGAACTATCCATACCATTTAAAGTTTCATTTTTATATGCGATATAATAGAAAGTATATAAATACTTTGAATGCCAGTGATAAATATATTATGTATTTCGCCTAATTTATAGATAATAGGTGGTATCTATAAAATTTTAGTCTCATTTTATTTTTTAGAAATATCGAATATGTTTATTCTAGGCACTCAAACGATCATATGTAATAATCTACCAATAATATTTTAGAGTATTTGACCGAATTAAGTAGTGTGCATTAAAAGCATGTTTATCTTATTAAGTTTCAATTATTTTAAAATATTTTGTATCATAAAGGAATCGAAAACAAAAGATTTTTTTTATTACTAAAATAAATAAATATAATAATTTAGCTAAGTCATGGTTTATTTTTTAATGAATTTAAATTTTATTTAATATTTCGCCCAGTATAAATTATATTAATTCTCATTTATTTTACTTCCACTTGCTACATTTGAATATAAATATTACTGGTCAGATTTATAAAATAATTTATTCAATTCTGGTAAAAAATTATATATTATATTATATATAATATTAAGCCAAATTATTGAATTAATTGGCGATAATTAAGATTGATTAGTTAAATTTTAATATAGGATTATGGTCAAACCATAACATCAAGTTTGGAAATATTTTCAAGAAGTACGCGATGGTAAATCAGTTAAAGCGGTATGCAGGTTTTGCAAGATGTCTTATATTACCCACGCTGATAGAATGGTCAAGCATTTATTAAGCAGCTGTACTATGTACCCTACCATAATTAAGAAAAATTTTTATTCAAATTCCAAAATATCAATTTCTACAAAAAATCACATAAATGTAATTTGTAATACTTCTAGCTCAAACCAAGAATTGTGGGAAATTAGTGAAAATGATTATCAAATTGAAAATATTTTGTCTTGTGACTCGAGAAAATTTGATTTCATTTTCTCTGATCAATCTACAAGCAAGGCGATTAAATGCAAATCTCAATCTTGTAAAACTAGTTTCATAGATAGAATGAATCCCAAAGAAAAAAATGAGCTCGATCAATTGTTTGCAAAGGCTGTATATGTAAGCAATTTACCTTTTCACATCAATGAAAATCCCTAAATCCAAGAATTCTTTAAATAATTACGTCGTATTTACACTTTACTCAAGCGAAGGCAGCTGGCTGGTTACCTTTTAAACAAAGCGTCAGGAGATATGGAGGCGAGAGTTGCAGTTATAATCGATAAATCTCCTCACTTATCAATTGTATCAGATGCCTGGAGCAACATTAGAAACAAGTATTATTAATTTTATGGTAATGACGCCTGTTCCAGTATCCTACAAATTTTAAATACTGAGGAAATTGTCATACGACAGATTATATTTCCCAGGAATTTAAAATTGTAATTCATGAATTGAATCCGGTAAAAGTATATTCTTTAGTTACTGATAATGCCGCTAACATGAAAGCAGTCTGGAGAATTCTAAAATCTGAATCTATTTACAATCATATACAATGTTAGGGTTGTGCAGCGCATACTTTGCAGTTATTCTTTCACGATTTTGAACGATTGAGACTTCAGTTACCATATTTCAATAATTAAAAAAATTGTTAAATTTTTCAAGAATAAACACATACCAGCTGCAGTATTTTCCTGTAATAAGAATCAACATGGTATACCATCTACATTAAGTACAATTAAAACAAGATGGGCATCGTCAATAAAATGTATGGAAGAAAGCTCTGAAAGCATCAGTTTTTGAAGAAGCAATATGTGATATTTGTTCTATAGAAATTACAAATAATATATTAAATGAAGAAATATTTTGGACGAAAAATTTAAATTTTTTAGATATACTCCAAACTTTAGCTACCTCATTGTTGAGAGTGCAAGGGGATAAATGTACTTAAGCTCACATAAAAAGCCAGATGCTTAATTTGGAATAACATATCATGCCATGATTCTATATTTTATCCATCTGAAGAAAAAAAATTGAAGTTATGTTTAAAAAAAATGATCTAAATACATGTGCTCACAATGCTGCTTATTTATTGGACCCCCAATATCAAGGGGAGCATCTTATTAGTGCTGAATTTGATGAAGCATGTAATATAATACAAGAATTAGGTATTTTACAAGGTGGTGATAATCAAAATATTTTAAGTGATATAATAAATTTCAAAAGTAAAAGCGGCATATTTAATAGCCAAAATATGTGGAAAGTGTTAACTTCCATAAGAAACAATCAGATTTCGGCCAAGATGATGGAATGCACTTTGCCCATCTTGCCCATTAGAGAAGTAGCTAATATTTTACTAATATTTCCTAATTCAACTTCTTCTTCAGAAAGAAATTGGTCGGTTTGGGAAAATATTTATACGAAAAACATAAATCGATTGAAGATTTCTACAACAGGAAAATTGATAAAAGTATACTATAATTTAAGATTGATTAAAAATATTAAAGAAAATAATGATATTGAATATGAATCGGAACAAGACTCTGCTGCGGAGGGCGAAACAACTATGGAATGAATAAAAAAATATTGTGAAATATGATATTACATAGATTTATTATAATATTATATATATACTAAATAAAGTTAATAATGGCGTAAAAAACATTTATTTGAATTTGACCGTATTTGACCGGTCAAATGCACAACCCTGTTATGAACTTTTATTTCAAATGTTCTTTAAAGTGATATCTGGCATGTTTGAGATCTTACATGCTAGTCAGAATAAATTTTATAAGGTAAAATATATTGTTTTTTCAATAAAAAATTACTTTCGAGATCATCACATCTTATGGATGTTACTACTCTGTTCAAAAATGAAGTGTATGATTTGAATTTTTACTTTGTTAGAGAATATATATTATATTATTCTTGGGATGATATATACGAATTTAGGTAAAAAAATCTTCTAATAATTTTGAAAATAAATAATAAATATTTTTAGTTACGAAAAATAGGACTCTTAGCTCCCGAAACTCCATTTCCCAGGTCTTTAACTTTGATTTTTCAATCTTCTTGGGCAAATAATGGGGATGCTTTGAGTGTTCAGTATGCTGGAACTGCTGCTTTAAAGGTTTGATTTTAAATTTAAAAGTTTTTTTTAAATAAAAGAAAAAATAATAAAAAAGGGAAATTTCAAATATGTGTTTTGTATTGCCGTTATTTTATAGTAATAAAATATTTATAATGAGTGATAAGACAACCCTACCCCCTCCTATTAGGGAGTAAAAATGGTAAAGAAAGTCTAATGAAATGAATGAATGGCAAATAAAATACACATTTTTGATGATCAAAAATTATAGATATATGTATGATATATTAAAAAGTAGTATTCAATTCGAAATGAACACGAATGACGTTCTAAAAATTAAGATAGTCGTAATTTTAGCTCTATATACTTGGTTAGGTTGTCTTTAGCGATAATGACCACCTTAACTCTTTAAGGTTCAAATCAAGGTTTCACACTTTTCTTTTGAAAATTCCCACAAATACTTAACCCTGTCCAACATATCGCATTTTTTTTAGGTTTTTGTTGTCTATGTCTTCTTTTTATAAAAGCTAGACATTTTTGGATTTAATGATATATGACTTGGCGCATTGTTTTGTTGAAAAATAAAAATCCTTTGTGGAAAATATGACAATGATACCTTATTAAATATCATAATATGGATCATGTTACCTAGACATTTTACCATCCGACAACCCCACAACATAACACCTGTTAGGAATTCTAAGGCCCTTTTAAGGCAATCAAGTTTAAAGGCTAATGCAAAGCATTGGCACGCACGTGATAATATTAAACATAACAGATTATGCAACTTAAAAATTCGAAAATTTAAGTAGTGCCGATTAATTTGATTTACGAATGTTAAATATTATTAATATATCCTAGGGTGATTTTACCCGTACAGGGCAGAAAAAACTGACTTCCTTACTTAAAGATGGTTACAATTCTGCCGCTAGGTATTATGCTAACCAATTTCGCGACGCTTACAAGCAAATAGCATACCAAACACTCCAAAACGCGTGTCCCTTGGCTTTAGTCGAGGCAGAAGAAATAAAGGAGGAAGGATTCAAAGGTTTAACATAAATTTTAAATCTTTTTGCTTCAATGGGATGTTCGAATTTTTCAAGTCATAATTTGACTAAAGAAAAAAATACATTTTTGTAACCGATATTAATATTGTTAACACATTAAAATCATGGATTTAATTTATAAAAAATGAGCTATTGCTGGTCTCAACTGATTTTGAACTATTTATTTAGAGGATGGGTGGGATATAAATTGATAAAAGATTGAAGGGAAGAGGCCAAATGATTAGCTTGAAATAAAATCCTTATTTTTTTAAAGATATATTTTATGACCTTTAATTATAATTTTTATAACTTATGAAAAAAAATTGTTGAACCTTCGTTAAATTCTTTTATAATAATATACATTATCATTACGAATGTTTGATTAGCAAAAGAACTTAATTTTTTTTTCTTATTAAAATTTTTTCCAAAATTTTTATATATATAGGGCTTTCAAAACTAAACATTTATATAATATGCATATAATGATGTAGTATCGTCTTCACATCAGACCGATTTCAACGTGAGAAGGTTGTTTTTTTCGAGAGATATTCCGGCGTTTAGGCGATTGCTTAGGCCATATCTCATGCCGGAGGAAGAAAATAGCGTTGAGGACGATTATCCTGAACCCGACCCGTATTTTGATGATGATAGGTTCAATTCATTTTCGGAAACAGACTTATTCTTTTATACTATATAATATATTGAAGACCTGCAAGCCCAGCTCGATTAAAGACCTGGGTAGGCGAACCTAGCTAAAATTAAATTTTTAACCCCAAACTAGGCTGGAAAGTAGGAGAATTTCTAAACAAAATACCAGATTGGACCTTAAATAACCTAACTTTAATAATTCAGCGGACCACAAATTATTTTTTAGAAACTCAAACCAGTCCTATTAATGGATAGCTCTGCAGGCCGCAAATTTGTAAGGGGCCGGAGAGCATGCTAGCTCTAAAAGTAAAACTACAATAGAATTAAAACTACTTAATAATATGAATTAACCCTTTAGGTTCCCTCGTAAAATTAATATGATGCAACACGATATTTACTAATTTTTTTATTGATTCTAATATAATATAATATAAAACACACAAAAAAAGTTTTTTAAATTCAGAATGGCGGCTCTCCCTGGTGGTTTTAAATTCATATCATTGACACCTTATGGAAACTTTCGAAACAGTTTCTATTTTTATTTAGACATAGTGGTACGTTGCATGATTTGCACGACCACCTTGTTCTTCTGGGATTTAACTTTGTACTACAGAAGGTACACCTTCGTGAGGTTCCTGCCTGATTGATGAGCTGAATTTTTTAGTCTAATTTCTGGTAGGATATAAGGTTTATTATTTTTTCTTTGCATTGATATATAATTATTATCATTATGAATATTATCATCCCTATTAACATTTTTACAGTATGCCAATTCGCTAGCAATTATTTGTCTTCGGAATTCTTTCGATGAGAGTTTATTATCTGTAAGAATATTGTATATTATGAATGAATTGATAATCGCCACATCTATCAGCCAAAAGAATATTGGTAGCCACCATTTTCGCCACTTTCGCGAAATTTCATATAAAGACTTTAAATGGTCGAAATGGTCAACAGACCCCATATATTTATTATACATCTTTATCATTATTGGACATTTTACGTCAAATACTTCCCCTTTTTTATTTTTTCTCTTCACAGTATCCACTGATCTCGGATCAATATAATTGGACATTATAAATACGTCACGATTATCTCGCCATTTAATTATACTTATATTATTTTTGTCACTTCTCCAGTCAAACTCACCTCTTTTTAATTTTGTTTCCATATTCTTTATGGGCAAGTATCTCCTATTTTTGTTTAGTGTTCCGGTAGCATATATACCTTTCTTTTTTAAATCGGCCATTAGAGTATAACTCGTAAAATAATTATCGAAAAATATTTTATGATTTTGAAATCCTTCACAAAACTTTGTTACAACATTATAACCAAGATTACTTTCAACCTCTTTATTTTTCCCAACATAGATATTAAAATCATTCATATATCCTGAAATATCGCATCTCATCCAAACCTAAAAATATAGTTTAGCCGAAATAAATAATGACAAAATTCACACATCCTTGAAACCGCGTTTCGTGGGTTTCTTAGACATGTATTGCCTAAATCCTATACGGCCTTTGAACCTAATCATTCCTTCGTCAATTGCTTGATATTCCGAGGGAAGAAAACATTTCAAGCAAGAGGAACGGATATTATCAATGAATGGTCTTATTTTGTATAATTTATCATAATTTTCATCATTTCTCGATGGTTCTAAGATATTGTCATTTATATGGATGTGGGCCATAAGCCAAATAAAACGTTTTACTTTCATTATGGATGAAACAAAATTGTCATGGAATTCTGGTTTAGAACTCCAATAATCTTTGTAATTTGCCATAGTTTTAATTCCAAAGAGTATATTAAGACATAAAAATTTTCTTATTTCTGTAGGAATAGTTGGTTGATATTTAATATTTTTTTGTTGGGCATATAAATTGGTATTGAATGAAATTTGTTGTTATTAGAGAATCATTAATAAATTTCTTATATATATCTGATGGATACAATGGGTCCGTTTTTAAAGATGATATTGGACCTGATATTTTATCAAATTCTAATGCTGGTTGTGAAGAATATTTCTTGGACCAGATAGGATTATTATGGTTTGTAGCAGATTGATCATACGCATCTTGTTCAGAATTGTCATTGTCATCAATTTCAATTTGATAAGGTGTATCCGATTCATAATCATCACTATCAATTTGGTAACGTGTATCCGATTCATAATCATCTTCGGAATCAGTGGATGAGTTGTCTAACGAAGAACCTTCAGATGGAATGTCCAGATAATCATCCATATATATAACAAGCTAAAATTATTGCGAAATGTGTTGGCAAAATTTATCAATTATTTAAAAAAATAAATATTAAAAATATTGTTGTTAAGTGGCAGTGGTTAGTTTAATATACCACATTAAAAAGATCAAAATAATATATAAATATTATTTATTTGAGCAAAAATAAATATTAGAAAGATAGATAAAATAGTGAGGAATATATATATTTAAAAATATTTGATAAATATACTTACTTATAATTAAAATTGGAATTTTAAGAAAAATCACCGTAAAAAACGTATTTTGAAATAAAGGCGCGAAAAAAAAATTAAAAAATAACTCCTCCACAAACATATGAAAAAGAATATCTTTTAATATATATTCGTGGTGGTTTTATTTTATATGATCAACTCCTTTAGAAGATATAAAGGTTAAAAGGTGGTTTTATATTTGCACTACCGCGACCGAAAGGGTTAATATCTCATTTTATTCCACTTATTTACTTTTATACTATACATATTAATTCTTTAAAAAATTATACTTTTAACATTATTAATTTATCCGAAAAATATTTTGGGAAAGGATGAGTTACTACAGTTATAGATTGAGCTTTCCCATGAGACACTTTTGAGCTGCAAAATATTTATTATTTTTAAATATACAAATGATATATATTTTAGCAACTACCTCATTTATAAAAATAAGCCATAATGGAAAATAGTTATAAAAAGTTAGTGAAATTTATTGACAATTTAAACAAATAGAGAATGGATTAAAATTGCAGTAAGATCCGTATGCTTAAAAAGATAATTTAAGTGGGACAAAGATCTATAAACATTTCAGATGTATTTATTAGATAAATGTATAACACACTTGCTATTTCTTGATCTTCATTTATATGTTTTTATGCATAAGCTAAGTTTGTTTTCTTCATAATGGCTAGCAAAGACGTATTTTCATTAAATATATTCATGATTTCATCATTTGTTATTTGTTTCTTTTTTCTAATATAATTTCTTACCATATTCAAATTTCAATAAGCAAAATTAAATTTTAGAAATTACCATCAAAAATCTCTTATTAACCTCTGAGAAGTAGCCCCAGACCCTCAATGGCTTTAAAATTTAATTTTATGGTAGTTTATATTTTTTGTTCAAATAAAGATAATTTTATATAGAATAGGGTTTAATCTTTTACATAAGATAGTTATTTGATAATTAAAGCCTTATTTTTTTTGATAAATTACAGCATTTAATAAAGCTACTTTTGAAAGTATAAATCATATATTGTGTTATAAAAATTTTATATATTTTCCGATATTTAAAAAAATCATAGCCGCATATGCATTAGGTATACATATTTGGTTAAAAAATTAACTATTAAAGTTGAGTACTCTAGAAGAAAACGCCTAGGCTCGCAAGAACCTCGGGTTCATAAGATCCCCGGTCTCCCTTATTGTAATATGCAAATACATTTTGACCAAAAAAAATTACATTTTAAAAATATTTCACTTAGTTCCGATAAATCGATATCATCTAGTCCTATACCTACGCAACAGCCTAATATGATTATTAACAGATCTTCGGCGGACCCACCCTTTAAAACGTTTTATGATGATACATGTTCCTTAAACAAATCACCGGCAACCAGAAAAATATCGGTATTATAGTTTATTTATAACAAATATGGGATATAGTGACGTTTTGGTCTATTTCATAATATTTAGATATAGTAAAATGGTAAATCTTCAAAATTATGATATTTAAAATAAAAATTTTTTTAAAGGGCCTTTATGCTAATATCCAATCTAAGGTATATGTTTCGCAGTCATAAAACTGTAGATATTTGACTATCTCATCTTTTTAAAAGTTGCAAAGGTATTATTCAGGGATGTGAACCCGGACCCTTAACCCTCGTATTTTGGCTGAACCCAAACCCGGACCCTTTTTAAAAGTGGAGGGTCCAAGGGTTCTAGGTGTCATAAAAATTTTATTTTATAAAAATATTTTTTTAAAAAATAAATATAAATTTTATTAACTTTTTTTATGGAATATTTTATCTTCGCGTTTTTCTTCCTGGACTTCCATTTTATTTAGAGATTGATATCATAAATTATTTTCCAGTGTAATAATATTTTATTATGTAAATTTATTAATATGCCTTATTATAGAAATACGTTGACTATTTTGAAAGTGAATTATTTTGTAGTACAAGTAGTAATATTTTAATTTAAATGATATTTCACAACACGTTGGTCATCATTTGTATTATGCTAGAACGTATTAAGTTTGAAAGATTTCTGTAATGATTTTATTATAGGAGCATGTGAAGTCATTTTGTCGGAAGATGATTGGTGCCAAATAACCTTACTTGTGTATTAGTTCCTTTAAAAATAACAATATTAAGATTACAATCAGAACTATGATGTTTATTTAATTTTAAGGCATATGGTTTAGATGCCAATTAGATTTAGAAAAATTTACAGTCCTTTTTATACGAAATATTAGAAAACATGAAAATTCGAGAGCAACAATATTTGCAAAATAGTGTTGTATAATATTTAGACCCTCGATATCAAGTTTTATTGAGTATTGAGCAAAAACAAATTGCTAAAGACCATCTTAAGGATTTATGGCATAAGCAAAACTCCATTATTTACAATATATTGGAGGCAACCAATACCTATTAGTTGTAGTGATAATAATAATAAAGATAACATTGATGATCTTGAAATTTTACTTTTAGATAGAGAAAAAAAAATCAAATTATCATCAGATGGAAAGGAGGATCAAAAAATGCCTATTGCATCTTTAATAGTAAAGTTCTCAGGAGTTAAGAGAATAAATAAGGATATAAATATTTTAAAATTCTAGGAAGAAAATTCTTCAATATATTCGGAATTATATATCTTATCTAGAATCTTCATGGCTGTACCGGCGACACAAGTACAATAATTTTATAAAGATAACTATCTATTTTAGGTAAGAGTAGAACGTGAATTCATCTTTGGAATATATATTGTCTACTTTCGTGGAAATCTCAAGGATGTATTTTAGAAGATATTATGATTGTGCAAGAATATGAAAATATAAATTATTTCATTTTTAAATTTTCCATTTGTTAATTATGAATATGTATATATTGAAGTATAATAATAAAAATATTATTTTGAGACATTATTTTTACGTTCCCTAAACCTGAACCCGGGTCCTTTCAAATTTTATCCTGAACCCGGACCCTTTTTTTTCGAAGAGTTCACATCCCTGGTATTATTACATTAAAATGGGACAATAATACCGCTTTCATTTAAATATAAAAGGTTTTTAATATAATTATCCCGAGACCTGCAGGCCCGACCAAATATTTTTTAAATTAATCCGGACCGAGCCCTGTAATATGTATTTCTGCAGGTTTCTGATAATTATAATTATACTTTATGACCACTAACCAAATATATCTAAGAATATCTGGATTAAAAAATTCTCTAAATTTCCCAGGAAACAATGTTAAAAATGAATACCCAATTCTTACTAAAAGCGTCTAGTGTACTGATTTTATTGAACCCTTTTAAGAATTTCGTGGAATCATTTGTGCACCCATTTTGTGTATTTATTCTCATTCTTTTATCTCCATTTTTTATCTTTTTATATGAATATCTATTATAATATAATTTTAGGAATATTATTTTTTGTTAGACTTTTTAATTATTAAATTAAGACCAATAAAAATCAGAGCACTATATTAAACTAGTTAAAAGTGTTTTGTATTCTCACACAGTGAATGAAAGAAATCGAAGAGGTAACTACAGGTGAAAATATATCTAGGCACTTTAATAAATATATTCCCACTTACTTATTGGATGAATTTTCTGATGAATAGGTAGATCAAATGAAATAGATAAATATGATGCTAATTATCTTAAAATAAAAAAAATGGTAGAACTAGGGGAAATGTTAAAAGATTTAACAACCAACGCTTATCATATGTTCGGCTCAACGACAGTTAATTATTAAACTATTATTGACAGATCCTGACAAGTTGTAAAAAATTTAAGAAGTCTCAAGTGTAGAATCTTGAGATCATTGGAATAAAAAATTCATCGCGATAATTGACTGAAGGCACAAACTGGTGTTCCGCGGGTTTATACCAAAACGATTGTTAAAGTTGAAAGATTGCTGTGTGACGGATTTTGTAACCTGTAGGATCAGTCCCCCCACTTAGAGAATGCATGCCCAAGTTTTACTGATCTGAGCTTACCTGACATAAATTTGCATATTTTTCAGCTTTCAAAATATTTTCAAGACTTCGACCTGGTCCATAAAAATATTTTGAACATTTTGTCAACCCTGCCCAAAAGAATTCCTATCCCGTGGGCCAGTTTTAGCTAACCTCTACTCTAGACTATCTTTTTTAAACTTTTAATCTTCTTCGCAATTCTTTTATTTAAAGTTTTTACCATTTATTTACTTTTAAAAGAATCTTTTATATTATATTATCCTTATCGGGTTTGCATTATCTTTTTACTATTTTCCACATCTAGCCATCGAAATCATTCTTTCTTTATGAAATCTTTTATCTTTGAGAACCGATTTAATCCCCCTTTACCTATCATTATATTTTTTTATAACTATATCCATTTTTAACACTTCCTTTTTAAAAGCACCCTTCATTGAGTCACAACAAATCTAGTTCTAACCTTATAACAACACCTATATACCTTCCTTCTGGCTGGACAGATGTTCTTAATCCTGGTATAGAACACGATAATCTCAAAATGAAGTTTGTGCCATCACCTATAAATCCTCAAGAAACAATTGTCAAAAGTATTTCGAAAGATATAAAAGATGTGAGTTAAACATTACATCGTATCAATAATCGATATAAAAAATTGAGGAAGTATTTAGATGGAAAAGTTTATAGAACATATTTTGTAACGTATCTACCAATGACAGGAAAAATAAGAGTAAACAATAAATTATATTCTCAGTACCATTTAAGTTCCTTAATAAATTTTGACTAAAATAGTTTAAGTATTAATGGAATAAGAAATTTAACATATTGAAACTTGTTGCCTATAGATCATTCATTGCATAAGAATTAGTTTGTTATATCTGAATTTTCAAAATTTTGAGTTACCCCTTTGATGAAGTGTAATTAATATATATATAATAATTTATATTTTAGGATTTTAAATTCATAAGATAAAATTTTTATATTTACTACTTATATTGTAGTAATTAATATTTTTGAAAAATAACATGTAATTTTTTTAAAGAGTATCTGGGAAAATTGAACTGCTGGAAGAATTTTTTTTTGAAAAATGATTTATGAGATATGGAATAAATAAAACTTAAATTTAAAAAAAATAATTGCGAGTTTTCTGAAAATTTTACCTCAATTTATTTTTTGCGAAAAATTACAAGGTTACAAATGATAAGAATAATGTCAAGAAAAGCCAGGAAATTATGACCGATAGTACATCATTACATCAAGAAAGGAAAAGATATGATGTTATGAAAGCCAAGCTTAAGAGCCGGACTAGAATATTAGAATTATAATATAAAGAAAATAGTCGATGAAATACCTGAGGTGAAAAAATAATGGTGACATATATTTATGCAACTATTTTTTTAAAATTGATGGATTATCAAATTAAGGACTAATCAGTTTGTATACAACGTTTTTTATAGATAATTTTACTCGTATAAGGTCATTGAAATAATCAGGCGATTAGTAAATTATTTTTTTAAAAATCAGTATTTATATCATATAATATATTTCTTTTAAAAAAATATGTATTTATTTATATAAAAATCTGTATTTACCCACTCAAAATTATGCAATTTATTACAGATAATTATCACGAATAAAATATCCAATCTTCAATAACCTTTTCTTAAGGCTCACATTCATAAATTTATGTATTTATAGTAAACTCTTTATAAAAATGTGTTTACTTTACGTTACGATTTTTGACACTTGTGAGTTGTGATATATATTGTAGTATTTGTATATTACTTTTAAAATTGTAAATCCAAAATATTCTTGTATGCTAATAAATTTACGATTTAGCACGCAGGGTAATTGTAAAGATTCTCACGAAGGATTTAAGAAATATTGCTTTTAAAATGTTCCCTTTTGATTAATTTTATAACATATAAATATTTTAATCCTATCATGCACGGAAAATAGAAACAAAAAAAGACGTACAATACTTTTTGTAATTTAATAGTAAATGTTTAAAAACAAACACCTGTTTGGACAAAACAAAATTCTTAAACAATATAAATAGAATATTTAATATGGCATATTTAGGGAAATTATTTATATTCATATAATGAAAAATAATCACCAATTGTTTATTTTAAAATATTGGTTTAAAATAGATTATAACGATTGTGCAAATTTTATACTAACGTGAGGAAAGAACTCTAGGATGAAATTTTAATTTCAACCTTGTTTAATAAAATATGATTATTTATTCTATAACAAGTCAGGATTTGTTATTAATTTAAAATTCCGACACGAATTTCTTTATTCAATTTTCGCTATTTTGGTGAGTATATTTGTTTCATATGGTGCAAGTATTAATATTATTTTCTAAAAATAAGTATATCAATCAATATATTATAAATTAAACATTCAATCTTATATAAAGAATTTTATTTGGAGGGGAAAGTGAAATCTAAAATATAGATTGATTTTAAAATTAATTTTTGTTTTAAAAAGAAGCATTTTATATCATTTTTTATGATTCTAAGTCTATATAAAAAATATATAATTTGGTTTATATATAAATAAGCATTGTAAAACATTTTAAATAAATTACAAAATGATTGGGAAAAATTGCCGAAAGAATTCGTATCAATTACAATTATTTTTTTATAACTTCAATTCACAAATAATTAGTTTTTAATATTTTAAAAAATTCGAAATTTAAGAACATTTCGACGCAATTTTTTTTATCATGTCAAAGTCAATGACAAGATCAATATTTTCTAATAATAAATTTTTTGTTTAAATAATTTAATTAAAGTCAGAGAGAATATAAAATATTAGATTTAGATTTTTGAAGCAGATTCATATATTTTCTTTAACTATATGTACACCTACTACTCCTTGTTTTCATCCCAAACATCGGCGGTGTTGCGACTTTCTTGTAAGCGCTTGTTTTCTATATTAATAGAGACATAAGAAATTTACATTTATAATTAAGAAAAAACTAGGAATGCACTTGACCCAATTCTTACATCTAAGGGCTAAAATTCAGGCTTAGTAATTTTAAACCTCAATATTGTTTAAGTTACTATCTAAAATGTAGGATAGAGAAGAAGGTAAGAAAGAACACTAAAATAAAGATCAGAGAAGATAAATAAAATTATATTAAGGATAAAAAAAAATATCACCGGAAACGGCCTCTTTAAATTCTTTAAGCTGTTTCTGCCTTATTTCTTCGTCGGTAGACACCCGAATACCTAAGTGACCTTCTATAAACCTTCGAGCTATAACGACCGTTGTTTGGGGTCGGGGCTTAGAGCATATCATATTGGCAAAAACGCTGTCTAATATTTTTAGAAATTTGTTACGAATGGGAAATCAGAAATCTATATATCATTTTAAAAAATATATAATAACGCCATAGATTACAGTAGATAAATAATATTCCAGAATTTATAATTGACAATTATCAGAGGGTGCTAAAGAAGTCCCTCGTCAAAGTTCCCAAGTTAAGTCTGTGAACATTTTACCCGAATTATCAATTAGGTAATCGATGTATTTTACTTGTTATCCAGAGAAAAAAAAATTTTGTAAGTTAAATGAAATCTCGAGGAATCAGGCATCTAATTACAGTGCTCAGAAAATTAAATTTACTTCAATTATGTATTCAAACGCAAAATTATTTTTTCTTTTCTTCGATAACTCAACAATTCAAAACTTCTGCTTTAACTGAGGAACCTTGGGTTTACAAATTTACATGATATTGACAGCCTCGAACGAAATTTCAATGACGATCTTGCGTCATACCCAGGTTTACTATAATACTTTACATGTATATTCAATTAATATCTTTCCACATTATGTCATAATTATTAACGATTTTAACTAGAGATTCTGTTAAAATACCCATCTTACCAGTCTACTAAAACCAGCATCTACATAAGAGTGAGGAGGGGGGAGGGAGTAGGAGCAGTTTTTTCCCAAATTTTTTAAAGGGGGATAAAAATCTAATGAGTGGTGAAATACATTTTTGGGTGAAATATGGTAAAATATACTGCTGAAAAATTTTTAATAATTGAATTATAGACCTATTCTAATATATATACAGACTAAACATTAACCAAACTAATATTGCATAATTTAAAGCAAAAATTTTTCCAACAAACATTAACTAATTAATAACGTAAAAATTTCGACGTTAAAAGAACGAATTTTTTTTAGAATATATATTGATTTTAAAGGGGGTCCTGACTCCCGTATATTTTATGTCATGTAGATAGTGCCCTGATGATTGATCTAAGCTAGTATTGTTAAACGACTCTTGAGCCGATTTTAAAAAAGAACTAACTCAATATTTCATCCAGAAAAATATTATCCAGGGCAGGCCTAAAGAGTAGCGAAATCTCGATGCTTGGGCAATATTTTTTTCTGGCTAAAATATTAAGTTGGCCGTTTTAAAAATCGAGCAGTTTAACAAAACTAATCTAAGCCAAGCCATATGGCCCTTACTTCAAGGAGTAGGAATAGACAAACATATGATCTCGTTAATCAAGATAATTTATGCCAAGCATAACTTAATACCCACAACATCTAAACATCAAATCAAAAGTGTATTTAAATTTAAAAGGGCCTTAAACAAGGATGCATTCTCTCATATGATATTTAATGTAATCATGAATGACGTTCTAAATATATTCTTCAAATGGGAATATGCACCTAATCTACAATATTTTAAGAAAATAACATGCATACCTCGCAGAACTTTTTATGTGATAGAGACGATGTTTATATTCTAGCTAACTCAGAAGACTTGTAAGATGGGCCAGGGCGGTTAAAATAAAATACGTATAAAGAATATTTACCTAAGGATTTTTCGGCTTTTAATTTGGATTTGGAAGAAGCTTGATCGTAAGATTTGCATTTCAACAAAGGGTGATTTAGATTAAGGGCATCTTGCGCTAATTGGAAAATACAATTTTTTTAAAAATAATTTTAATATAAGATTTTCCCGCGTAATGAAAAATGATCCCAAACAGCAATGGCTTCTACTGCCTGCCCTTTATTATTTTTAAAAAATTTCCAATGGGATAAAAATAAATAATTAAAAATTTGTCACAATCCTTTTAACAAAGTTACACTACTAATCATGTGAAACGAGCAACAATGAATTTAAAGTAATATATATACAGAGACCTGCAGGGGTACCATTTGCATGGTCCAGTCAGAATTTTTTTAAAATATATTATTTTTATAGTTAATAATGTCGATTTCAAATATTTGGTTTTAAACTATTCGGCCTAGCCAGGGTATATAAAAAACATTTTATAGGCCCAGCCTGGGTATATTTTTAAAAAGCTAAAATACGGCTAGGCCCGTGTAACCGGACTTAGGTCAGGGCCTGCTGGTCTCTGGTATATATTATAATATCACGTGCTCAGGGATTCGTTATAGGGAGATTATCTTCTATTAGATCCCGTGTTTTTAAGCTTTAAATACCCAAAAGCATAATTAATGTTAAAAATTCAGGGCTGTGCCGATATTAAATATTGGATCGGGCCTATATTTCGTGTTTTTTTTAAAAAAAATATCCGATCGGGCTGATATTTAAAATTCCGATCCAATATATTCATTGTTATTAGTTATTTTATTATTATACATGTAATTATTTTATACTAGCTGCTAACCCGTCAAGAATGACGAGTAAATCAGATATTTCTCCTGGTTAAAAAATCAAATTATTTTACAAGTAAATATGATGTTATATTATTGCAACAAGAAAAGGATTTTAAGATGTCTAGCAGTTCATATTCAGTCCGTGTTTTAAACGACTCGTTTATGATTTTTGAAAAAAAGGTTAAAAATTACCTAAGCTTGGAGATTTTACCTACATAAAGTTTGGACTTCTATTGGCGAATTTCGAGGCACCATATGTAATAATATTTTGGGTGAAATCTTGATTTCGCCATTTTAAATGGCTATATTGAGGCGTTTAATAACAACCCTACATTTAACGATAAACATTGCCCATATTTTAAATGTGATTATTAACTTTTTGAGAATAAAAAAACAAAATACACTTAATCATTCGTGAAAGTTAGTTGGTTTTTTAAAATAGATTTTCTATGACATTCGTTCAAAAATAGGTGCTAAATAAAAATCAATATAAATAAAGTAATGTGGTTAAATAGCTGGCTTTACACGATCACGACCCTGGTTTTTGATTAAAAATGAACCAGAACCAACCCAATGGGTCGATCTGGTCGACCAAATCCATAGACCTGGGTACCAATCTAAAACCAACTTAAATTTTATTGTGAATATTTTGCTCAATCATATTTTTATGCATAGATTCACATAGCAAATTCTTTAATTAAGATTCCTTTTTTTAAAATCGTTCTCTTTTTATAATCTGAAAATATATAATTTTTACTTTACACTAGCAACTCGAGTTGTGATCGTGAACCCAATTTAAAAACTAGAGGACGAGTAGTTCAATATTCATATATAATTATCGTATTAATAATTAATATATTAGATTCCTTTTTTTTATAAATTGTTGTTATCTCGATCTACAAATATTTTATTTATATTTCATACTACCAACTCGAGTTGTGATCGGGAACCCAAATTAAAAACTAGAGGACAAGTAATTCAATATTCACATAGAAATAATTATCGTATTAAAAAAAGAATATATTAGATTCAGTGATCCAAACCGAACCTAAACCATTAAATCGTTAAAACCCGGTATTTTTACCGAACCTAAACCGCTAAAAAATTTCAAGCTGAACCTGAACCGAATCGCTAAAATGGCTATGAACCGGTTCGAGCCTCGTGATTTTGTGCTTATTAAATAATGTGTAAGTTATTACTAGTATATTGCAAAATTTTTAATTATATTCAAATTGTTTTAAAGATTATTATCAATCACATTTGATTGATAAGTGTCAGTCATAATTTTTATAAACTTTAGTATATTGCCATTTTACAATATTTTTTAAATATTTTAAGTTTATAAATTATAATGTCTAGAGAAAAATTAAATCCAATATATAAATTATTTACATATAGTATTATAAATGACACATCAAATCGGATATCACAGCGGCACCGGCAGTGCCGGCTACCCAAGTTAGTGTAGAAAGATGTTTTCCAACAATTAAATTTATATTATCTCCTTATAGATGTAATTTGAGTGGGACGAATTTTGAATATATTAATTGTGTGGCTTAATAAAATTTTAAGTAATTATTCATATTAAAATTAATCATTTACATTTATTTGTTATATTTATAAATTAAATATTATTTTATATTGTGCAAGGTTTTATATATGTTTTTTATTTTAATTATGAAATGAATAAAATTATGGTTATTGCCACTTTCGGAAGGTATATTATTTTATTTTTTTATTTCCCCCCAAAAGTGGCAATAACCAAAATTATTATATTAGATATATAAAATTATTTTTGTTTTTATATACGGGGGGAATTATTTTGTGTTTTTTATATTTTATTTAAGTATATTTTTTTATGCTATTTATTTAAATAATAATATTAGGATTAAAATTTCTTTTTCTTATTACCTATCTTTTTATTTTTAATTATTGCCTTTATACACCACATCAAAATCCTATTGTCCAGTAGTCTGGAATTAGGATTTTGTTTATACTTTTTGTCGCCTTACGAAAAGGTGAAAATTTGTCGCCTTACAAAAAGGTGAAAAATTATTATCATTTACGGCCTATTTTAATTGAATTTACAAGCTAATTACCATTTTTCAATATTCAACTAAGCATAATACTTTGAATTTATATAAGGTAAACAATTTTTTTAAATTCTATTAATTAAATATGACATGTAGATATTTTATGCTATTCTAATTACATAATTATTATATTTATATAGTAAATAAAGGTGCACATTCTATTATCAATGAAAAAGGTCATACCCTACCCAGACCAAATCTGATATGTACGATTATGATATTTTATTTTCTATTAAAAAATTAAATTTTAGTGGATCAACTTGCCCATAAATATAGACCTCTCAATACTCCATTCAGTCTATAGAAAATATTAATACGTATTCTCTAATACTAATAAATAACAAAGTACTATATAACATTTAAAATTAAGTTATGTAAATTAAAATAATAGAAACATTATCAGCACCATCTTGTCAGTTTATAAATTAAATACTTAGCTTAAAGATTTATTTTGGGGTATTGGTCTTTGATAAAAATTGTAAATATTATTATTAGTTGTATGACTTAAAAATTTTTATATAGAAATTGAAAATTAAGAAAACCAGCAAAAAATATGTTTTGCTTCTTTTTTACTAAAATAAATATAATTTTAAATTTGGGACAAAACAATTAGAATTGAAAAAAATGAGCTATGGTTGACCTTAAAAAAATTAGGCTGATTGGTTAAATTCTTTTTTAAGAATTGATAAATTCAAATAAGATAATTATTTCTAATTCGATGTTAATTATTTAATTAATATTGAATTACTCATCCTCTATTCCATAATTGGGTTATCAATCACATTCACAACTCGAGTTTGCAACTTGATTTGCTAGTGTAAAGAAAAAATTATAAAATATTTTTATCTCATTATAAAAAAAAGGAATCTAGTATTTCCTTTTTTAATATGATAATTATTACAATGTGAATATTGAAATACTCGTCCTCTAGTTTTTAATTTGGGTTTCCATTTGATAATGTGAGGTAAAAATTATATAATATTTTCAGATTATAAGAAGAGAACAATTTTTAAAAAATAAAATCTAATATTATTAGATAATTATTTATATCCTAATATTAAAATGTTCGTCCTCTGTGCATAAAAATATGATTGAATAAAATATTCACAATAAAATATTATAAGTTGGTCTTTGATTGGTGCTCAGGTCTAATTTGATCGACCCATTTGGTTGGGTTGATTCTGGTTCACCTGCTAATTCGACCCAATCATGCAATATAACCATACTAAAATATAGGATAGTTAAAAATTTGTAGATCGGCACAGTCCTAACATTTAATATGCTATAAATAAATAAGTAAGAAAAAATATATTATATAAGATCGATGATATCAGTTATTGGTCTGATTCAACTTGATATTATCATGAGATTAGGTTTAAGAGCCTCTAAAAATTTGTATTGGTGCAACTCTATTTAGGTATGATCCCATCCCTCCCTGAGATGATGGAAATAAATAAATTAGGGGGAGGGAAGAATTTCCATTATTTATTTTAATTCTTCCTAGATTCATTTCTTCTAATTTTAGAATTTCTGTGGTTTTATTTTCCCTCCAGGGAGAAAATACATAAGGATTTTAACATATCAGATATAATTAATTATAAACCGTATTTGGAAGAGGTAAATACAGCCAAAGCGTGATTGTCATCGACCCAAAGAATATCTAATTCGGAATCTCTTTGTTATTTATTTATTTTTCAAAAATTAATTTTTTTGCTTTATTATTAAAAATGGGGGATAATATCATATAATAAATTGGGATAGGTTCTAAATAGCTAAAATAAAATCGGTATTGGGAATCTCATTTATATCACCTAAGATGATATTTCATCCATTTTTAGTAATTTTTTTAAAAACATTTAAATACAAGTGTTTACTTCTCTATCATCTATTAATATTAATTTTAAATTTACTTTAAAAATTTTCTAGGAGATATAAGCGAGATTCCCAATTTTTGGCGATTTAGAACAGGAACCATTTACACATCAGTTCCATGACAAAGATGGGGTAAAAAAAACATACAAAGCGCTAGCAGATCTATATAAAAAAAAATATATTGACTTTTGAAGCTATCGATTCAAACCTACCGCATACACTGTATAATTTATATCTAGAGGACAATATACATAGCAAAAAAAGTGTTTGTGGATGATAACAGCTGATTATGAAATGATTATATATAGGGGTGTACCGATACCACTTAGGAGGCTGATCCGATCCTATATTAAATTGATATCGGCCTATTAGATGTCATATCTAATTTTGTATTATGTAAAGATATCAATGGTTATAATTTTAATACACTTCTTATTAGTTTAACATCTATAATTTATCTATACCATAACATATGTCATTTAAATATATTATAATGATCAGTTATAGTTTATATTCAACTCAATTGCAATTCTAAAAGTATATAAAATATTTTTATTGATAAATTACTTATTTATATAATAAGTAATAACATTAATCTATTTACATAATAAGTAATAAACAAATATATTATGAAATTTGAAATAAATATTTAAATCAATATTTAAAATTAATATATCGAAGATTTCTTTTTAGAAATACCAAAATTTCCCATTTATCAGAGGTCAGCTTGTGTATTTATTTAAAATATACATAGACATATTCCAAATCCAAATAATATTAAATAAAACAAAAGATTATTTTAGAATAAATTATTGCACATTTTTATAAACAGAATGTGCAAAAAAAAATAACAATATGGCAGAATGTTTATTAATTACTTATTATTAAAAAAATTAACATAAAAATGGATTTCGATTTTATTTATAAAAATAAATGGCTTTTTAGATTTAATTTTTTTTTAAATTTTATTTATGTTAAAAACGCCATTTTTTATCGGTTCGGAAAATTTTATAATGTTAGCTGATAACAGATATTTTAAAATGGGTGAAATATCGGAAAAAATATCGGTACATCCCTAATTATATATAAAAATAATGTTGGCAATTAAAAATGTGCTTTGCAAGAGGCTAGTCTTTTTTTAATATAGTAAATCTGTCCTCTTTTATTTTCCAAACAATTTTAATAATTCTTTTCGAAAGAGTGTATGTAATGTAATAATTATTGCAAATCTTAAATTATCGGATAACTTTATAAATAATACACTTATTTTATTTAAAAAGGTCTTTTTGATATTATTTTAATGATTGCATTAAAAAAATTGTTAAAGGTAATTTTAAAAATATTAATTTATGCAACGAACTCCTATAAAAAAAAATCTATAGATAATATTAAAACTCGTGATTAAAAAATTAGAAAAAAAAGCTTGGGATAAGACCCTGCCATTAATTTTATTTTTATTCAAACAAACAATATATGGTCTCTTATAGTTTAAACCTTAATGTTGTAATATGGTTAAATTAAAAGAAAAAATGACTCCTATTTCAATATTTTTTATATGCCTTCTGCTCTCCTCTAAGTAACAAACTATTATTAATCTTTCTAATAAATATTGACACTTTTTGTATAAAAAAAATCGTAAACGATCCCTAACCCAGAATTTGTCAAAATGTCCTTGAGATCAAGAGTTTTGAATTCGGTAGGAAAGCCGGAGACTTCGATGACCCTTTCAAATCCTATGTTTGATTTAAAATTTGGATAAAAAATAAGTTACAATATTTTTTTCTGAATGAATTATATAACCGAGGAACAGAATATTATTGAATTTTGATCAAATTCAAGTTAACTAAATCATTATTTAATAGAGCCAATATAGTTCTCAATTTTTTTCATAAAGTTAAAATCATATGATAAATCTAAATTAGGTATTCCTTTCACTAATTTTTCTTTTAAAGGCACTAATTTTTCTTTTAAAGGCAATGTTAAACGTCCATCTCGTTTTAAATGCATTCGCTAGCACGTTTGGGACGCATCAAGTTTCAACTCGTAATGTTCAAGGAACACATTCAGGCCTGATAAAAAAGGGATAGGGTGGACGTATTAACTTTCTATAGTTCTAGATATCTTATCTTTAAAAAAACATAGATATTCTCAGAGATCGATACCACTTTTTTCCCCCAATATCGATATCAAAAAATTTTTTTGAACTATTTTATTTTCTAGTAAAGTGTGTATTCTCCATAACAATATCAATTCCACAACAAATTTTTATAAAAAAAATAGGAAGAGAATTCCCAATGCTTAATCTTAATTATTCATAGATTTTATGATAGTTATTAATTAAAAAGTAAAATATTAGCATTCAATAAACAGTATGATATGGAGCCTAATATTTATTTTTAAAAGCGTTTATTTATTTATTTCTCTATCTTACTTAACTGTTTAAAAATTAAAGTTTATAATAGGTCATTTTTCAGGTACGGTTAAAATTGGAAGTTTCAGTTTCATCTCCGGATATTATAAAATAAGTATATATGTATTATTACTGGCAGGGTCGTTAAGATCTCTGGAACACGTGAACGGACTCGAATAAGTCTTAGGATCGTGATTACTTCTAAAGTTGTTGGAGAAATTATTGCAGGTCAAATATTTATGGCGACCATTGTGATTGGGAAAACTACTCATACTATTAGAACTAGTATTAGTATTAGTATGGGTATTGAAAGAATTATTAAAATTTTCTAGATTGTTGGAGTTATTTTCGGTGTTATTGGCTCGACTAATATCGATGTTGTGGATACGGTTTGTGAAAGGTGGTTCTCGCAGGGTTAGATTGCCTAAATGGGTCACCTTTAAATGAAAGAGTAGTTTGTAAATAATATATTTAACAATTATTTTCAATCGAACGAAACGGAAGATAGAGGACGTATTTCGAAAATTAATATTTTTTAGCAGAGTTCAAATAATCCTCTTAGAGGATTTGCGCTTAAAATTTTTAAGAAAATAAAAAAAAATTGAGAATGCTCCCTTAGAATTTTGTTCAAATTCAAGATCATTTTTTTTTAAATTTTATTTTTAAAAAATCTATGATGCTGTGTCCTGGTCGGTTTAATTTGGATACTTATTTGCTTTTAAGTTTAGGCCAAAAAAATTTTAACAGGACATCCTATTTTATTTTAATTTGTTTTATAAGTATCTGGTGGTATTGTTATTTTTCATATTTTATTCTCGTTATTTTATTTTATTTTATTTTATTATGTTTTTATTTTCTTTCATTTTTTTTTTAAATTTCTTCTTTTGTTTTTTGGAAATAGCGCCATATTAAATAGCCTCCTATTTAGTATTAAGTTGACCTAGGACACGGTCTGAATATTTTTTATTTTAAGCAAATGTTAAACTCTGATATTTAGGTGAAAAATTTTTAATGATTGTGACCAATGAAATTATTATTTTTAAATTTACAAACTATTTTTCCATGCTTTAAAGCTAAGTCTGAAAAGTATACTCGTTTAGTTTGTGCCTATATTTTAGAGCTATTAAAGAGTTGATTTGTGTAAAATTGAGTAGATGAGTTATTTTTTAACCCCCCTCCTCGCATAAAAATATTTCTTTTTATAAGACGTCAAAGAAATGGATGAATGGAGGGGGGAGGGTAATAACGTGATTTCCAATATTATTCGTATTTCTGTTTTTTATTTGTTAACTATATATTTTTTTTAATTAGAACTATCAAATCAAGTTTTGCTAAAAAACTAACACCATGTCATGTTTACAAATCATGGGCAAACCCCGGAATTTTATATCATAACCTATGTATAAATTATTTTTGCTTTCTTAGTCGTTTATATCAATAAATAATACATCTTCAGTATTGCATATTGTGACTTTCGGTATTTTGCATTCCCATCATAATACTTCTGAAGAAAAAAGGTCCAAATTTAAAGCAAAAATAAAAACAATATTCTTACTTTCAATAAATTTTGGCCAGATCATAATTTTTGTATTAAATAAAACTTAGAGCTTTTGTTTGTTGTTGCATAAAATGCATAAATACCTCGAGAACGTGATATTAATATAAATTTCTTGTTATGAGCTATTTTTATTATATAACACTAATTCTTAAATCATGATAAAAATGATGGCTTAAATTTTTTTTTAAATTTCATTCCAATATGGTGTTTGATTGTTATAAAAAATAGTCTAATATGATATTTAAAATTAACTTTAGCATATACTTATTTATAATAATTTAATTAGACCTGATTATTATAGCCAGGGTTATAATTAGGATCATAGCTGGTATGGAAATAAGGTGGTATATCTGGCGGGAATCGTGTGTCATTGTAAGTTGATGGGTAATAGGAATGTTTTTCGTAAGAAAATGATGTTGGATCATTGTTTGCTAGATTTTATTATTAGGAAAAATTGATTATAATTTTTTTTTTCCAATATAACATGAGCATATAAAATGTAAAGTAAATCCTCCAAAATAACACCACCTCTTGATCTTGACCTCTTTTGGTCTGGCCCACCTTTTCAAAATCTCTATTATAAATATTGATCATTCAACATCTACCAGGAAGTAACTGCCAATAATTTATATTCCGATGTGGGGGGGGAAGGGGGGGGGGGGTGTCTTAATATGGTTACCCACAGACTGACATAACATAAAGGCATTTTAAAAAATCTTTAGTACTTATTGTTTAAAAAAATATAAAACTAAATCAAGAAGCCAAAAAAAATCCAAATAAAGAGTAATTAATGTTAGTGTTATTAAAAATAGTGTTGTTAAACGCTCGTTTTGGGCAGATTTTTAAAAACGGCTAACTCAATATTTTAGCCATAATTGACTAAGCCTCGAGATTTTGCTAATTGCTATCTAGACCTTTGTACCATCTATGAGCAAAATCTTCAAGCTTGCGTAATATTATGGATAAAATATTGTATTAGCCGTTTTTAAAAATTGGCTCAAATCGAGCCATTTAACAGCACTAATTAAAACTACTAGAGGTGATGCGGCCCTAATTTTTCATTCACGGCCCGCCCGCTCACGGTGGTAATAAAAATATATCATGCCCATTCACGCTTAACACTAAAAAATTTTCGACCCGACCCGACCGCTCACGACAAGCAATATTTTGATTCACGCCCGTCAAGCCCCAAAATTCACGGTGTTTTTAAATTTTTCAAAACTATTGCTATAATTTTACCCTTTTTTGAATTCATTCTATTTATTTCTCTAATTTCATAATCCATATTAATAACAAAAAATAAATACAATCTATAAATCGAAATTTATTTGGAAAAAGAAGAATCTTTTTTTATTTCAAATGTGTACGCCTTTCCTCTAGAAAGAGATTGGCTACAGAAAATAACCTTTCACTAGAAGCCAAACTTGGCTGACAAAATTTTACTCGATAATTTTCTCAAAAAAGGAAATGAATATTCCTGCTTCCAAAACTTCAAAATATTGTCTTGTTATTTATCTTATATGAATCTTTTCGGTTCATCCTCAGAGCTTTCATCGGTGATCTTCATCAGAATCATCTAGAAATTCTCTAAAAAAATTTTTAGAATATACGGTCTTTTATGAGTGTAGGATGAATTAGGAAAATGATAGATGGTATTGATCATTTAGAATATATGGTTTTTTATGAATTTAGGAAAGTTATAAATGGTAGTTGGCATTGACTTATGCATATCAGCTAATTTTATATCATTTAGCATTTTTAAGATTGTTTTATATATAACATTTTCTTCTTTTATTAAAAACTTAAGTCTTTTGAAATCGGATCTAGAATTAAGACTACTATAGTGGCTGCATAATAATCTTTTAAATGAAATCTTGTTCTGTATTTTAAGGTTTTGATTATTATTGTATCATGTTCAGAAGGTAAACAAAATTTTATTAATTTTTGTTTCCATAGGCAAACTTTATTTATTGTGGGACGAGAATCTGCTCTCAGATTATCCGAGCATTCTTTAAATATTTATAAAAATTTATCTAACTCGCGTATGATGCTGATATCAATTGTGGCTAATCTATTTAATTCTTGCTTGCTAAACAAGTACACCTGTATTTCAGAATATGATTTTAAGAAACTCTGTATCATGATATATACAGAGTTCCATCTTGTTATTCTCGCTATTATATATTGTTTAAGGGTTGTGTTTGAAATATTGTACCATTTTTTTACACCATTTATATTTAAGGCTATTTCAGTTAAACAATTGTCAAAAATTTAATGCATAATATTATTTAGTATATGGCATATACATGCTAGCGTTTCGTCATCTTTGAATGCACTTATAAGATTTGCTCCATTATCACTCACAACTATACATTTATTTAAGTAATTTTCTACTTCTGTATATTCTCCTACAATTGAATTGACTACACTTTTAATTTTGACGTTTTTTTCATCCATTGCCCTTGTGGCCAAAACAAATGTTTTCAATTAAAATCCTTAATGATGATATGTCCTATAATGGTTAAAAAACTTAGATTTTTATAGTCATCCATCCAAATATCAGTGATTATGGACAATGATCATGCTTTTAATTTTAAATTTTATTTCATGGTATATTTTTGGACCTATAGTATTCATGAGAGTTTTCCGGTTCACAACTTTTATATTTTGTTATCCATATGTAACACCAACATTTATCTCTTGGCCTAGCTTGTAAAATCCTTCACTTTCTGTTACATTTAAAGATTGAAGATCTTTACAAATAAAATATAACTGAAGCAAAATTTAGCATAAAGTCTCATGATAAAAAACACCTAAACATAAAAAGAAAATAGAACTAACAAAATGATAACGGATGTTGTTTATAAAATGCGGAAGATTTTTAGTTTTTATTCTTTTTTAAAAAAGAACTAAATTAAATAAGAAAATATATAATATATTTATAAAATTGCAAATTTATAATAATTATAAAATTGCAATTTATAATTATAAAAATTGCAAATTTATATTTATAAAAAACAATTTTAAAAATTAAAATATCCGTGATTCACAGGAAATTTATACTCAAAAATTTATACAAATCTTAGGAAAATTAAGCAAACCATGATTTTAATATACTAATTATATTATATTGAATTTATTAACCTCCTTTCCAATACTGATGATCACTAAATTCCCTATCCAGTGGATGAATAAAATGCATATTAGTTCTTTCTGGCAAAAAAAATCTATTATCATGTTGATGGTATTCTGCATTATTTATTCCATTATTCCTATCCCCTGCTCGATTATCATAGTAATGAATTGAGGGAGATGGTAGAGTGGATATGTTTTCTTTCCCTTGAATTTCCTTATTGGTTAAATGTTCAAAGGGGTAATTTTGAGCTTGCCTTTGATAATTTTTATAAATGGAAGGGTCCCCTCTTAGTCGCTGAATAGGTAATATAGATGAACCTTCAATCGAGTTAAAATTATCTATTTGATCTATATTGGATGGCTCATTAAGGTATTGGTCACATGATATTGGTGATATGGGCCTCCTTCTTCTAACACCCCTCATTTCATTGGGAAAATTTTTGTGATCCCCCTTATTATCATTCAAGCATCCTGAAAAACTGTAGTCACAATTGATAGATTGGTGCCGAGAACGAGGTGCAGGAGTGTCAGGGAGGGATATATGCCATTTCCCAGCCGAAGATTGGCAAGCAGGCTGTGTACAAGTGTTGGGTAGATTTATCATTCTATTGCCTCTAACTAGTAAAGAAGTGGGGGATTTGAGTGACTGTAGATGACAACTATAGTAGATTAAATTGATATTTTCATCTAAATCTATAGAATTTTTGTTTAATGGATTTTCCAGATTATTAATGACTTTGGGAGAATCTAAAATATCTTTAAAACTTTCATCCACTACTTGAATGTTGCATTTTTTAATGATATTAATATCTGGTGACATTTTGTTAGTGACAAAAACGGCACCTGGGGGTTTTATATTCAATTCAATTTTTTTAAGGCAAATTACTTTTTCTAATGGATTTATGGAAATATCATTAATTAATGTATGTTCAGACTTAATTTGTTTTTTGTAATCAGGTAAATTTTGATTATGATTTGTAATTGAATTTATTTTATCAAGTATTTCATGAGATATTTTGGATTTAAGTTGAGATCTTGAAATATTTGCACTTTTAATCTTCTTTATGTCATGAGAATTATTTGAATGAGATAATGAATTTAAGCTAACAGGAAATATGTCACATTTTTTAATCAAAGATAAATTTTCTTTTGTTTTAGCTAATATATTGGGATCAATTTCAGCTTTAGGGTGATCAAATCTTTTTCCAGGTGGAATATATCTTTTAATTTCTGGCCTTTTTAAGCATCTTGTAAATATTTTTATAAATATATGAATTATTTTGTATCTAAAATAATTATCTAAAATACATCATTTAAAAAAAAAAAAAATTTATATTCATAATATGCTAAATTTAAATAGTTTCATATGATATATAATCATTATTACATTTTGTTAGCATTTATGTTATTATATAGGTTAGAAACAATATCATTTGATGCAATATGTGAATTTATGTTCTTAATTATAGATTTGTTTAAACCATTTTTGTTGACAGGATTTTTGTTCACCTTCTTGTTGTTAATATTTATATTTTCATTTGTTTCTACATTTTCATTATATTTGGGATTCAAATGTGGCTGCAAGACTTTAAGAGTGTATCTATCCATTTTGACATTATGAGAATTTTTAAATTTTTCATTCATAATCTTTAAATTTGAATACGGATAAGAATAGCATTAGGAAATGTTAGATTATTTTGTATTTAGATATTTGTGATATGATAATGAAAAAATTCAGAATTGCAATCTACATTGATCCTCGAGGTGTGATAAATATTTAGTTATGGATTAATGGAATATGTATCTTATCTATCTTATCTAGGAGGTGGTCACAGATCTCCCCAAAGTGATAAAACGTGAATTATATGAATGCCCAACCTCCATATAATTATGCCGATCTTTGATACCAAAAAACCTAGTAACTCATAGGTATAAATATCAAAAAAGAATGAAACGCCTATACAATTGAAGTATTAGAGTGAGGTATAGATAGGAATATGAGGGAGAAAAACTACTAGTTATGCATGAAGAATATATTTAATTATTAAGTGTGCTAATAAAAATTTTTTATAAAATTAGTTATTTTTACTTTGAATGAAGATTCTACTTTTCTTGTATTTGACATGACATAGATTACATATTTTTTTCACTTTTTTCATCTTTAGATATATTTTAGTGACTTATTTTTATTTTAATATAAAATTTCAGAGTTTATAATGAGAAAACAGGATTTTTTGTAAAAAACAACTTATTATTATTTTTTCTAATTGTTTTTTTATGTTTGAAGATTATCAATCTTGGTAATATGCACAATGATGTTTAGGAAGAAGATGTACTTTAAAGTTACCCTAGAGTTTACGAAGACACACAATGAAGTTTATTGGTAAAATAAAAATAATCGTAATTATCAAAATTATAATCTAATACAAACAAAAACGTTTCTTATATACAAAATGAAAATATTTAATTAAAATAAAATATTTTGATTCAAATTGTTTTGAATAAAATGAAATATAAAAAAACTATAATTTTAGACTTCTTAAAGTAAAATAAAACATAGAAACTTATAATAATTGATTTGAATATAAAATAAAATACTTTGATTTGAAGTAAAATAAAACTTTAATTTTAAATGACTTCTTAAAGTAAAATAAAACATAAAAACTTATAAAATTTGTTTTGAATTTAAAATAAAACATTTTTAACAGTTTAAAACTAAATGTTCAAAAAAAGGAGAAAAAACAGTTTAAAAATATCTTAAAATGAAAACTTTGCACATTCTAAAGATAAATATAAAGGCAATGTATTTTTTTGAATAAATGATAGATAAAAAACAAAAAATTTTATACTTTGACATTTCACTCTTTTAGTTTCACGTCGTCTATCGTCTTAGTTTGTCTAGCTTGCTGGTTTCTTCATCGATCGTTGCTTGTTTGCAGAATTGGGCAGTACCGCGAATACTTGTATCTAATATACAAGATACAAGATCCTTTTGTATCTTGTACTCAGTATCTTATTGACATTTTTAATAAGATACTAGTATCTGTATCTAAGATCCTTTATTTTGAAAAGAATCTTGTATCTTTTTCTTTTCTTTAAAAAGATACAGATACAGATTTTTTTAATATTCCTGTTTAGAACATTTATATATCACACGTGAAATCTTGTATTATTTTTTTTAATTTTTGCTATATTTTAAATATATTGATAACCAAAATTAGTTGGAAATTTTACAGATCACAAAGATAGATATATTAAAAATAACAACACCTAAAATAAGAAAAGGATATATTTTTTATGAAATATTTTTTAATTTGTAGAATGTTTAACATATATAGTAGTGAAGATGAAATTATAGAGATAGGTACTCCTGAATCAAATCCGAATCTTAAAATTCTAGATGGAAAATTTTATGAAGTAATTCATGTGAAAAAGGACAAGGTATAAGCCGAATGTCAAAATTGCACATGTAAAAAAGTTATTAAAGGTTGAACTCCTCTACAACCTTTGTTGAACGTATTAAAGTATAGTATACATCTTTATTTTATAATTATTAATATAATAATAACTATACATAAGTCCCTCTTAAATAATTGTTATTAAAAATTTTTATAGAAGATGGATGGTTGATTATCAAATTAAAATCATTTTTGGATATATACCGATATAACTTTTTAGAGGTCGATTTGATCCAATATTACCGATATTAAATTTATATCGGCCGATTACCGATCCGATATCATATATAATTTTGTATTCTGTAAAGATACCAATGGTTTTAATTTTTAATATACTTTTTATTAGTAAAACATCTATAATTTAACTATACCATAACTTATGTCATCTAAATATATTATAATGATCAGTTATAGTTTATATTCAATTCGATTGCAATTCTAAAAGTATATAAAATATTTTTATTGTTAAATCACTTTTATATAATAAGTAATAACATTAATCTATATACATATTAAGTAATAAACAATTATATTACGAAATTCGAAATAAATATTTAAAATAATATTTAACATTAATATAGGGAAGATTTCTTTTTAGAAATACCAATATTTCCAATTTATCAGAGGTCAGCTTGCGGCGATAGTAACTTTCAATATCGCCAGCTTCACAAAAAACAGATTCTGAAGAGATTATTGCACACTTTTATAAACAGAATGCACAAAAAAATAACATTATGAATGTTTATTAATTAATTATTATTATTAAAAAAATATACATAATAATGGATTTCGATTTTATTTATGTAAATAAATGATTTCAGATATAACTATTTTTTTTAATTTTATAACATTTTAATTTTGTTAAAGAAGCCATTTTTATATCGGATCATATTTTATAATATTGACCGATAACCGATATTTTAAAAAAGTAAAATATCGGCCCGATGCGATCCGATAAAAAATATCGACACATCCCTAATATATTTTATATTTAATTATTTTAAAAAGTTCTTATTAGAGGAAATATTTAAGCTACAATTGATATATAATATTAGATAATTTTAAAAGGCTCTTAATAAAATAATTATAATAAGGTAGAATTTAACTTTATTAGTTACTTTTATTTATTTATGATATAAGTAAAATAACATTACAGTATTTATTTACAAAATTTAATCAATTTAAAATGCATTAAAGAAAATTGCTATGTAATTAACAATTAAATAATATAATATTGTACATTATTTTCATATTTTTTATATATAATTAATGATTTTGCAAGAAATATATAAAAAAAATTTGAAAAGAGATTTAAATGATATTTATATATATATATATATATATATATATGATATTACAAATGCAAGAATTAATAAGTCAAATTAGAAAATATATCTAATTTAAAAAAATACATAAATATCACAAACAAGTAATGATAAATACTTATCAAAGATAATGAATAAAATAAAACTGGTATATTTTTTTAGAGATGCCATTTAGCCATATACTCCGAATATAATCTATATTTAAAATAACCTGAAAATTCTAATTAACCATTTAATTTTTTTTTTCTTATTTGCACATTTTCAACTACCATTAAATATACTACTCTCCCTTCCCTGTTTATACTATTAATGGGCAAAAATTAATATTAAAATCTCTGGTTATTATAAAAAAAAATTGTGAATACGAATGATTTTATTAAATTTCTTTTTACATAAAACTTAGTCATCAATAAATATTTTATTAATTATTGCAAATATTCATTCTTATTAGTGTTGTTAAATAGTCGAGTTTTTACGACTCTGAACTCAAGTCAGAGTCGCAAAACTCATTTCAAGCTTCAGAGTCGGCTAGTGTTGTTAAATAGTCGAGTTTTTAAGACTTTGAACTCAAGTTGGAGTCGCAAAACTCATTTCAAATTGAGCGGCTCAATGAGCCGCATGAGTCGACTCGATGAGTCGGCTTCAGAGTTGGCTCGATGAGTCGGCTCGATCAGTTGGTTTCAGACTCATTAAAGTTGTTTACTTAAAGCCGACTCTGAAACCGACTTATCGAGCCGACTCTGAAGCCGACTCATTGAGTCGCTCAAATTGAAATGAGTTTTGCGACTCAAAACTTGACTAGATTTTAGGCTAAGTCGACTCGACTTAGCCGTTTAACAACACTAATTCTTATATGCGTATGCTATGTTCTTCACAAATAAATAATAAAAACTGTATTTTATAAACTATTCTAATTTAATTGGTAATGATAATTTAAAAGTATCTTGTATTTAAGATACTCTAATTTAGTAAAAGATACAAGTATCTTTTATCTTGTATCTTTTTGATATTTTGAAAAAGATACTAGTATCTGTATCTAAGATTTATTTTTTTATAAAGAATCTGTATCTGTATCTAAATTCTTTTTTGAGAGGACCTGCCCAACTCTGCTTGTTTGTCATTTGCTTGCTGAGCTTGATCGTTATCGTTTCCCATCATTCTTCTATTTTCATTAGTTTTCAACAATTTTCAATCAAAAAAATTCTTGTTTATATAGTATGAGTTTATTTTAAATTAAAAATTCTTTACAAATTTTAAAATCCTTTTTTTTTTATTATCATTATGAAATTTTCAAATTTTTAGGCAATGTTTTATTTCTGATTGGTCTTTGATTATTATAACTTTGATCTTGAACTTGTATATTTTGATTTTGTAATCGTTCATCACCTCTTCCCCTTCTTAAATTTAATGTGCAAGGTGTTAAATTATTAGTGTTTGCAATAATTTTCAAATCTGTTGTAGTACTATGTGTTACTATACATTTGTCCTATGTTTTATTTGAAAGTTTTATACCAAATTTTCACCTATTTCGATCTTTCTATTTGACAATATTTTCTGTTTTAATTCATTATCTTTATCTTCTGTAGTTTAAATAAGCTCAATCTGGTTTTAGTTGTTCTTGAAAATTAATTTGCTGGGTATCATATTGGTTGTAGCCAATGACAGTATTAATGTCATTAGTTGTAGCATTGGGAGTGTTTGGATAATGAAATAAGAACTTTTCCAAAGCTATATCAAAGTCTATTTAATTGTTGTTTTCCATTATCCTTTTCATACTCATTTTCATAGATCACACCATCTATCACGGGCCATTGGACTGTTGGTGGTGTGGAGCAGTAAGTACTAAGGGGGGCGCAGTGGATATACCCCTCCCCCCAAAAAAAATAGAATTGCCTCCTGAAACGAAAAAATTCTTTTTTTTAATAGCTCCCTAAT